CTACATTTCCTTACTATCAGCTAATCTACATTTTGTCTTCGTAAACATCCTCTAACCCCCTGCAGTATACCTTTTCTAAACTGAACTTCCAGGCCAGCTCATTTCATATTACATATTCTCCAATGATATTTTGCAAGGTCTTATTCAAAGTATATTCGTTCAACTACCAGTTAAAATAATGGTTACCCTTGTATTCAAATTAGTCAAATGAATAACTGACTTAAGTCTAGCGTCTTATCCCCCCCCCCCCACTCAGTGTTATTTAGGGTACGCATATGCTTGTTCCCTCTTTTTGAAAGCACCCCCTATCTGAGGACTGCCAACATTTCCGGACCCCCCTTTCGCGGGCTTTTCGCGGGCTTTTCGCGGGCTTTTCGCGGGCTTTTTCTGCCTTGGAGACCCCCCTAAATCATGAAAAATGCTCAATGTACCCCCCTGAATTCGAAATAATTTCTCAGGAGTCCAAAGAGATGAGAGAGAAAAAGAAAAAACACCCCTTTTTTGTTTACAATTCTCGGGCCGGACTTTGTCGCACGAAAAGTACCCCTTTACCGGACATTTTGGTAACACGCATGGGGTCCATCCGTTCTCGGAGTGGGGGGGGGGGGGGGGTTGTATAAAGTAGATCATGAGCTGTAAATTGGTCTAGGCGTATTGTCAGCTCTCTGTTTTCTCCTGCAGCTGATTCAGAGGGACACGCGCGCACCCACACACACCCTCATGCTCACATCATAAACACACACCCTCACCGCCCACACACACACACACACACACACACACACACCGTCACCCTCCCGTACGTACATCAACACACAATACTAACGTGAATATCCTGCAGTAGCTGATTGGGAATCCGAATCACCATAACCGCTACTGGTTTTGCCTCTCACAAACACCATGTACTCAGAGTTGGGACGCAACTCCAGGACGTTGAAGGTAAAAGTTGAACCATTGACGGTCCCTGCTGAAGTCATTATACGATCACTTGGGGTATCCTCACACATATCGCCTTGAAGAACATAGTACTTGATTTCATAATGCGTAGGCTGGCATGGAGGAGTGGAAGGAGGTTGCCATGATACTGTTAGGCCAGGAGTGCCACTGTTTACCTGATATTGGGTAAGCTCTGTTATAACCGGTATTCCAGGAGCTGATAAGTGTACAGAAAGGAATTAATAAACATTTCATTCGGTCTAATCCAAGTTCCCAATAATTAATTGATTACACTGTGATTACACTAAATCTAATCTCTATCTTTAGAATATGTATTGACTCCAATTAATGTAGTTTTTTCTGATGTATGTTAGATTTGTATTATCAATGAGCCAATACTAGGCTAGCAGTAACAGCTATCTAACTCTCTTGGAGCAACGCCAATAGATGGACTGTATCAAAGCCTGGACTTTGAAACGTACAGTTTCCCATACTTTCCCTTGAAAACAAATACTCTTCAATCGTCAATAGTTTAATGTGTACAATGGACATATTACAGAATACGTGTCTTTATAACCAATACACATGTACGATAGGCCTATATCTCATTTATCAAACCTGATATATTAGTCATTGCCATTTCCATATGCCATTCACTCCTTCTCTGTTCGGTAGTAACTACTCTTATCCTGAAGCGAAATTCTGTGCAAGCATCAAGACCAGTTATTTGTACATAGTTTCTTCGTATGGGCGTTCGATCCTGGACAGTTCTCCACCCACCAATAGTATCATATCGTTCGTATTCGTAGCGATCCAAAACACCATGTAGGCTTTCACAAGAGGGTTCCTCCCACACAAAGCGCAAGGAGTGGGCAGTAGAGGTGTACGACACTGACTCGATAGCAGAGGGGTCTGTGAATAGGATCAAAGCGTTGAATGATAAATAACATAGTAAATGTAAGTAGTTGTAAAAGGTCAATCGCAAACAGGTGTACTTACTTGATCCTGAAACAAAAATAGAAGTGATCATTACGGAAAGTGACAATATTTCTCTAATAATTTGGAATCTCATCAATAACAATCATAACAACAAAAGTAGTAGGCCATTGGTCTTCCCGGACCTACAGAACACCACATAGGGTAGGCGTACACGAGGACAAACTAATGATTCGATACGTGTTTTATTAAGAAGACTTGCTTGTTATGTCGTGCAACCAAAATATAGTATTCCACGAACAGTCTATGGATAATGGTGCCCGGGGCAAACAAATGAAAATTTATTTATTTTTTCAAATTTTGAACTATGAAAAATCACTTTATATGGTTTGGCATTTGTCCTTTATCTTATACTTAACAAGAGACTAAAGATAATTATAAAATAGGAAGGAAGCAAGTGCATTTGCATGAAACAAATCTTGAACCCTTGAAAGAAAACTGTAAAGAAACTATAATATTAGAGCGCGAAATTTCAGGATCCTGACAAAACAATATTAAAGCAATGCGCTTAGCGATCCAGCTTTAGAAACTTTCACGCTTAAAACCTTAATTAAAACAAAATTATTTATCATGCAATTTATCTGCAAATTGAAGGTTCATATTATGATCTTATTTTAATTCTCTTTATTCCCTTGCTCTTGCTCTTTTGCGTTTTATTTTGTCTCTCTCTCTCTCTTGTAGTGTCTTTGTATGGGCTCTCTTCAAGTGCCATCCGGAGCACGTGCCCCCTCCCCCATAGATACAACATTACTAGTAGTTGTATTAGCATTATCTTTTATATACCTCCAGCTACTGTGTATCCAGTAAAATTCGAAGGTGGGCTCTCTGCTTTTCTAACCACAGCTATGATAGAGATGCTATACGTGGCATAATATTCCAAGTTTGTAAGGTATTTGGAGACGTCTGTAAAAAACGATGTGACGTTGAGTTCGTAGACTGGTGCATCTATTAAAGGAAGATCTTGACATGCCTCACGTGAGATGAGTTGATATGATAGTTTGTAGTAATCCACATTGCATTGAGACGGAACACTCCAAACAACTCTCAGTTGATTCCCAGTTGCATAAGCGGATGCACTGGTGACTATATTCAACACAAATAGAGAGAATATTTTCAATTGTTAATCTTGCGAAATATCGTTTATTTTAGGATAGCGGTTTGTTTTCTAGAGGGGTTATATCATACCAACCAATAACCATAACACAGAGAACTGCCTTCTACTCTTGCAACGCCGTCTCATTACATTATCATGAAATTCTTAGCTTAATTTTCTCTGTATCTAAGGATGAAGCCAAATATATTTCTACCTGTGTAAACATTGAACATGTTTTTACCTATTTTTTATTTTTATTTTTTGTGGGGGGGGGGGTGATAAAGAATATTCTATCCAACAAAAAGGTATCCTTGATTGCAATGAGCATACGAATTGGAAGCCTGCTAAAAGCTAGGTTGTATATTTGGGCGCCTATAAGGCATCATAATGCGGTGGACAAAAGCGTGATACCAGAAAGAGATTTGTTCTTATCTTTGTATCCTTACCTTTTTCCTCTTATGATAACTGTTAGCTCTGTAATAAATACATGGTCATACCTGAATCACAGTTAATTATGATAATCATAAATAACATTATGATACTAACATTTTCATGTTTGAAACTATTTATAAAAATTCCTCGAAAATGGTTAAAAATAATTAAATTTAAAGTCGTTCCGCCAATAAAACTTAGTGACTGAGATTGAAGGAAAATTAAAAATATAAAAACGACACTTTATAACGGGGAAAATATTTTAATACCTATATGAAAATACTTTAATGTCGCAAAGACATGATCCTTGAATTTGCAATGTGATTTTGTACATGTATATGGGCATATATATCCAATAAAACCTTGCATTATAGAAATATGGATCTCTTCCACAAATATTATTTAAATACACAGTTTTGGAACGAGGTTCATATAATTGGAATTCATACACAAAGCAGGGCAAGTTAACATCACGAGTGTGATTCTTTAAAAAGTATTATCTTTGTACTCTTTGACACTTACAAGTGACTTCCGTTACACCGATAGCATAAGACAGATTTCCAAGAGTTGACACATCACGGTTGACGGCATTGATATTCAGTTCATACATCGTGCATGCGTCAAGATTATTGAACTCTACTGATGAGTATGAAAAGTAATCATCAAGGTATGTCCTCTGAACAAAATTCCTAATTCTTTCACCATCCTTGTAGATTCTTGCAAAGTAGTACCAGAACACTCCATTCACATTTCTACAGTTGAGAGGTTGCCATGTGAATCCTATTCTTGATGGAGAGGTCCTTTCTGGATTAACCCTGACATTAATTTTGTAATGTTTGACGGTGCTAAAGAGAATCGGAAATATAAGAGAACGCACCTTTATTATTTTGCTTTATGATTGTGCAAACCTACATCTAACAAGCATTGCTTTCAAGTAGGTTCGTTTTTGTTCTTCTTCATTTCCTGTAACCAAATCATTTTGTATTATAATGACTTTTAAAAAAAGGTCAAAGATATTTCAATGCTCATTTCTGTTACCATTACGTTCATCATTGTCTGTCATTGTTTATATTATGTGAAAAGAAATTAAAAATAAATTTGCTTCGACTTTTACCTAAGTCCGTTAAAATGTTACGTGTTATTCATTCACGTAGTAAGGCTAGCGTGACGGTTGAAGGAAATATACATCGCAACCAAACTTTACCATTCATAATTTAGGTAAAGCAAAATTATTGAAAACTATATTTTTAGATCAATGCGTATGTTATATGCAGGGAATCTAATAGAGATTTGACTGGTAAGGTGTGTATGATACATACAACGGAGTTATATTTTCCAAGGGGTTATATTTTCATGGCTGGGAGTATATCTTTATTACGATCCTTGCAATCGATTTCACGTGACGAGCTTTGGACCCATAGCAACTTTGTTTCTGTATATTATATCCCATATTCATAATCATAACACGGATAACAAAATGTATCACCTTGTACCAGTACATGTCTTGAAACTGTTATGGGGAAAGGATATTTTGCTTATTAGTTCATTACTCACGTCCTGGCCTGGTTTCTGAATAGCCCATCATGGGTTCACTCTGCCCGGCACCATTTACAGCTGTAACTATGATCTTGTATTGCGAGTAAGGCTCTAACCCCACTAGAATATTGTATTGCGTGATATTGGTGTTCACTTCAAACTCTGTTGGGGTGGTTTCTGGTGATTGGCAGGCAAGCTTCTGATATAGACTGTAGCGTATGATATAGTAGTCAGGGGAGCATAGACTTGATGACGTTTCCCAGCTGACTTCAATTTGTGTGGTTGAAGGTGACATCTGAAGGGCTCCTACACGTGCGGGTCCTGGAAATGAATTTGAAATATACAGGTAAACGGAATTTGAAATATACAAATTGAAAGAAAATGTTAAGAAAAATTGAAGATCGTTAAACGAACGAGTGATGATAGCATTTAGACCATATTTGACTACCATGTACTTCTGAAATGTCCTGTTTTCTTAAAATTTACAAAATGATTCAAAGATATACATTTCACTTTAAGCGTATAGTGAAATAGTCTTTTTGGTTAATTTTCTATCATATGTCATAAATAAAGAAGGAGTAGAAAACAAACTAACTTGCCATAATGAATAAGCGAATATAAGGTATTGTAGATGTATTTCAGCCCAAGTGTTATCATTGTACAACTCAACGCAAATAAACATATACATAAGAAAACAGATATTCTTACGTATCAAATATGTGCTCACTGACAATATTTCTGAAGAGATCCCCAACTCGTCTTTGTTTCTAAATGCTGCGTTGATGCTATACGTAGTACAATCCGCAAACTCTCCAATGTTAGCAGTACCCGCCATAGTATCAAATGACAAGGTTCGAGGAAAGCCATTTTGACCATAGGTGCTGACATTGATTTCTAATCCAGAAAGGGCACTGCATCCCCATGATTCCTCTGGTATTACCTGTTATTAATATGAATATGAAAAACCGGAAGAGCACGCCAATTTGACAAATTAGCAAAATGTAAGTTTACCACATTTACCATCAAACCTTAGATGTTCAGTATACTCCGGACAAATCTTCACTGATCATTTCTTATGTGTTTTTTTTTTTATATATACGGAGTAAACATACGAAACGCTTTGTACAAACTAATTATCGTAAAAACGATACTTCGAGAAAACTGTGTATTTTAAATTGAAGTATTTGGGTCAGTTTATAAGCGCTCATACTAAAAATTTAACCCCCCCCCTCTCAATTAAGCAAATTGTAATTATTTAAATTAAGTAAATTGAACTGAAATGTGCTTCTTGATAGTAATAATAAGAAATTAAATGCGTTGAAATCATTCTTAGCTCACCTCCCAATCCAAAGTGATGAATGTTTGACCTCTATTTCTCACAGACAAAACAGGCGCCTGAGAAGGTGCTGCAAAAAGGGTTACAACAAAAACGAAGACAATTAAGTTGTTTTGGTTGTAATTCAGTTGCTGGTTAATACAAATAACTATACAATATTCATTATTGTACTGTCTACAAATTAGTTTGCCTTTAAGGTGAATTCACTACAGTGAGTCCATATTTACCAGCCTAACATTTGAGAGCGGGAAATTTAACAATCGAAAACTTTGAAACCTCAAAGGATCGCCGTTAAGGTCATAATGGTCAAGAGAAAAAACAATCATAATATCCAATAAACTAAACTGTTGTTTTTATAATATTTATCATTAACGCTTGGTTGAGTGCTTTTGTTTTCAACATCTTTGTACAATTTTTGACAACAGATTAATTCCATTAATTTAACTTACTTTAACCACCAACAATTTGCAATGATATAATTGCCTGTAATCTCAATCTTAAGTTAGAAAGCGTTAATAAGGTCGATATTGAAAAGAGCGAGTGAACTCCGTCCCGACTGCGGCCGTCAAAATGATGTTGATGATCCACCCATTATTAGTTGTTATGATAATAGTCACTGCTCTTACCAGTACACTTTGTCCTAGCTCTTGCTACTGAGCTGAACATCCCCTCACCAGATGGCCCCTCTCTCGAAGCAGTCACTCTGAAATCATACACTGTGTCCCGTGTCAAATTAGTGATCGTGAAAGTTGTATCTCTGATGCGATCGCTTGAAGCCCTGGCTATGTCACCCTGTCCATGTGTGCTGTGGTAGACTCGATATCCAATCACTGGCCCATCACCACGATCATTAGTCTCATTCCAATGTGTCCATCGGATGGTGACCGAGTGAGATGTCATCTCTTGGACGAGTATGTTAGATTCAACAAAGCTTGGAGGCTCTGATAGAACGTAAATTGAGTTTCAAAAACATTTGTATGAAGCCATCCTACAGACTACATATTTGAAGCCCCACTGTACTACTTGTAGCAACTTGCTCCCTCTATATAGAAAACAATGCCCAAGCGGTAACCGTTGGTCCCCCGTGATCCTCTTTTTCTTATGTTAATTGAGAGCTGAGTTGATGAGATAGCCACCTGTCACATGGAACCATTTTAAAGACAGAAAAGGCAATATAAAAAAGTGACAAATTGTGTTTATTATTTGTATTGATTGTTTGTGACGTACATGGATATGTACAAAGCATCTTCAATTCCATTCGCATTAACAATGAATGTATTCAGGACGCTAAGCTCTTGTCATTAAATCATAGCAAAAACAGGTATGCTGTTATAGTTCAGAATTACTTACCATAAACAGAGACAGCCAGATCTTTCGAGACATTTTCCCCGTTCGGCCTGCGCAAAAGACAAGTGAAATTCTGAGGTGCCTCACCGAGGCTCACCCTAACCTGGTACCGGGATGTCCTGGTTGATTCATTGACATTGGTCTCCAGAAGGACAATCCCTTCATCTGCACCGGCTGCATAGGTGACGCTGATGTTTTCAGAGGTCGGTGGAGGTGATCCTGTCACAACACAAACCAATGTTGTAGGTTCGCCATTGTTAACCTTGGTGTAGAAGAAGCTCGCTATGGCGTAAGAAGAATCAGGCTGTGGAGGTATGGGAGGGGTGGCAAAAGTGGTAGCACTAGTAGTAGCTTGAGTTGTAGCATAAATGGTTTCAACGAAGGAGATGGTTGAAGAAGTGGTACCAGAGCTTGCCGATGTTGTGCCAGGAATCGCTGAATATGCAGGTGATGAGACGAGAAAACATTGTTAAAATATCAGATTGTACGCCTCACGCACGCACATAACACTAACCCACACAGGCTTATACATGTTTATATAACATAATCATAGAAATCTAGCTATTCTAATGACAAGTAGCAATTTCGCAGGGCAGTTATATTTTTAGTTTCCATTTAAATCCCCTTAAAAACGTATCATTTTCTTTCTATCGCAACAGAGATGGTAATGCCTCATATATATTTTTTACGTAATTCATTCAGATATATTTAGTGGTAAACTGCAGCGGGGTTTTTGTTGTTGGTGATACCGTAAAGTGTAATACACTTCACATTTCTGTATCTTAAACAGAGAGCTCAGTATAGATGCAGGGCCTCTGTTATTCACTTATTCTTATCTATTTCTCCTTGTGCGCCTCAGAATAGAAGTTATATAGATAATCACACAACTGAGATCCTTATCCACTCCTTTGTCACCTCCCTTCTTGATTCGTGTAATAAAATTGTCTCCTCATCAATCTCCCCAATAAAGACATCGCCAAGCTTCAGCGAATTCAAAATTCAGCCGCCTGATTAGTTTCCAAATTACCAAGGCAAGAGCACATCACCCCCACTCTACAGGAACTCCATTGGCCATTGGCTACCCGTATCCCAGAGAATTCAGTACAAAGTCATCATTTTAACTTTCAAAGCACTTCATCAACTCTGTCCCAGCTACATATCTGAACTTGTTACACCTTACATACCCACTCGACTCGATCCCTCCGTTCTGCATCTCAACACCTCATTGAACCCACAACTTTTAAAACCAACTTATTATCAGGGTGGACTCTCCCTTTAAAGATACCATTTCCCTTTTGCAGCCAACATCAAATTATGTAAAACTTTGCAGGAATTGTGAATATGTCATGTATGTCCTATTTGTGAAATTTAAACGTTAGTAGTGTTCTAATATTCAAATTATGTAAGGAAACCCGTTTACTTGCTAGACTTCACTGTCAGACACTATTCAGTGACTGGCTGGCCTTTTTCTTCTTTGGTAATAACATACATAAAATGGGCTGTAAAGGGTACATCTACAGTCTACATCAATGACACACTTCTTGTAATGGCCAAAATTAAACTGATTGAATCTTTGCGCAGCATAAAACGTACAACCATTTGGTACAATGGTCTGAAATCAGACTACTACTTACCGGCTCTATAGCTCTTAGGTCGATTCGACAACTAATAGTCGTTAATTTCCAACTTAAAGACATTTTCAAGCCCCCTTTTTTGTGGGGGGAGGGTTTAAATTAGTATCATCTTTCAACTGCCGTTGGAATTTAACCTTTTCATTTGTTTGGCCTGCAAATGGGACATAGTACCTTTAAGTCGGTACTGTGCCTGCGATCGCACATTCGGTTATAGCAAAAATGTTTTTAAAAAAATCGACTATCACACCTCCACATAATTTACCCCCTTGGAAAATCATCCCCCCAGGACAATTATCCCCCGAAAAAAAATCTGCTTTTATTAAAACCAACTTATTATCAGGGTGGACTTTCCCTTTAACGAACAAGGGGTAATTTTCGGGGGGTTGTCCTAGGGGGGAGGGGGAGGAGGTGATGTTTCACGGGGGATAATACTTGTCCACGGGATGGGGGTAATTTGGGGAGGGGTAATTTTCCGGGGGTGATGGTCCTGATATATACAGGAAAGGTAATGTAAACAAAGTGACAAATTGTGTTAATTATCTGTATTCATTGTTTGTGACATACCATGTCATGTAGATATACAAGGCACTTTTACTTATCTGCAATAAAAAGAGTATCCTACTACGATTCCAATCGCATTAACAGTGAATGTTTAAAAAGGACGCATAAGCTCTTGTCAGCTGATCGTAGCAAAACAAGATGTTTTTGCGGTTCAGAATTACTTACCATAAACAGAGACAGCCAGATCTTTTGAGACACTTTCCCCGTCCAGTCTGCGCAAAAGACACGTGAAATTCCGAGGTACGTCATCCAGACTCACCCTAACCCGGTACCAGGATGTCCTGGTTGATTCATGGACAGTGCTCTCCAGAAGGACAATCCCTTCATCTCCACCGGCTGCATGGGTGACGCTGATGTTTTCAGAGGTCGGTGGAGGTGATCCTGTCACGATACAAACCAATGTTGCAGATCCGCCATTATTAACCTTGGTGTAGAAGAAGCTCTCTATGGCAGAAGACGGAATCAGCTGAGGAGGGACGGTAGTGGGAGCAGGAGTGGTAGCACTGGTAAAAGCTTGAGTCGTAGCTTCAACAATGGGGATGGTTGAAGAAGTGATACCAGAGCTTGCCGATGTTGTACCAGGAATCGCTGAATATGCAGGTGAGGAGAAGAGAAAATATTGTTAAAATATCAACTTGTACGCTTCACGCACACACGCACATACTACTTACCCACACGGGCTTATACTTGTTTATATAACGTAATCATAGAAATCTAGGTATTCTAATGACAAGTAGCAATTTCGCAGGGCAGTTATATTTTTAGTTTCCGTTTAAATCCCCTTAAAAACGTATCAGTTTCTTTCTATCACAACAGAGATGGTAATGCCTCATATATAATTTAACATAATTCATTCAGATATTTAGTGATGAACTGCAGCGGTTTTTTTTTTGTTGTGATGACGTAAAGTGTAATACACTTCACATTTCTGTATTTTTAACGCAGAGCTCAAAATACGCACAGGGCCTCTGTTATTCAGACACTTATTGTACAAATATACACTGTCATGAGAGGTTCTGGTTAAAACTATGTGCAAGAGGCGACTCCAGTAGTACTATTTGCTGAGAGGCGCAGCCCCGAAGCATATGGTACTTTTGGAGTCATCGAGGCCCATAGCTTTAACCAGTACCTCGAATAGAAGGCATGGCATATTTGTATTATATCCTGCATCAAAAAATTATTTTATTTAAAAAAATACCAAAAATTTTTTTTTTTAAATTAGAACCAAAAAAATGTCAATTTTTTTCTAAAAAGATTTAAAATATTTAGTTTGATGTAAAAAAAATTCAATTCAAAAACAAAATTCACATTTTTTTTCCAACCCCCAGATAGTTCTCCCAAATAGTACTTTCTAAGATATAGTTCAAGTATTTGTGGTCATGTAACAAGCTCTCAACCTATCAAAATTCAACAAATTTTTGATGCAGGATTATCTATTTCTCCTTGTGCGCCTCAGAATAGAAGTTCTATAGATAGATGGCTCAATAAAAATGCCAGATATTGTTACTCTTATTATTACTATCACTTGCAGTAGAATGGTGGAAGTTCGAACTGTAAAAAGATTAGGAAAACAATAATAAACAGGGTTCAAATTTACCACTATAGGAAAAATAATAACTTTTTAAAATATGATGCTTTTAAAATATAGCTTTTAACTGAAGAGCACGTACTTCAGAATATTAAAGAAGTACTTCCAGTTTGTCTAACAATTGATGTGCGGAAATCTTAATCTTAATACTAAATATCCGGCTCTCAAAGGTTCACCTTCAAGTGTAGTTACGATTAAATATCAAGACACACGAGAGCAGACTATTTGATCGTATTAGCAATATTATTCTGCACATTATATAGCACCATTCCGAGCGAGACGATATCTTGTTTTTCAATTACTGTTGTGCAAAAACAATCTATAACACCAAATACGCTTCGATTGCATGGGCATTAACATACATAATATTTCACAAGACAATAAGATGGTTCTCTATAAATGATGTACTGAATTTACATAGCTGAGTTTATGTGACCTTTGGGGCACCTATGTTCATGTTTGATATAAATGACAAAATCAAATTTGATCGAGATTAAAGTCTGCATGGATTGGAGAACGAATTCCATTGGTCAACTCAGCATAATAGACAAAAGCAGGGAATGCGTGTCAAATGATAACTAACTGCAAATCTAGCAACAAATTGGCTAAAACTAGTATCTGTTTAATCATGAAACTTTTTTCCCCTAGTTCTTGTTGTGTTTTTGCCTTTTGCTTTGACAAGCCCAAGAAATAATGAAGGACGAAATGGATTTCGGCTCTTTATCGTGATGTGTTTATTATGTGATAATAATGTATGGTAAAAATTTTAAAAAAACCTTTCTATGAAAACTGAAAGTTTAATAAAAAATCACCTTGACAGTTGACACCAGTCCAGCCTTCTTGACACTCAGTCCCATCAATGCATTCTCCTGTATCCTTGGTACAGATGTTACTTGGAGAGCAGTGGCACTCTTGCAAACAATTGGCTCCATACGTTCCCGGGTTACATTCTTTAAAAAAATCATGGGGATTGATACAGTAATAGAAGACAAGGAACAGCATTATAAGGTAGGCCTAATGCGCTTTTTAAACATCAATATTTCACACTAAGGGGCAGGAACAAGAACCCAAGGTACGTCGATGTAATTGTTGCCTTGATATTAAGTTTCGAGAATGAATTCAAACAAATCTTAAATAAATGAGTCAATGAGGTATCCAGGGTGCGTTATGAATGCTTAATAGATTTGGTTCCGCTAATCCGTTTTTTCAATTAGCTCCCACCCACAAGTGCATTAGAACGTCTTTTATACTTTTTAGTTAGATGTATCTGATGTGAATATATTAACGAGTACATTTATTTTTGTTTCATCTGTTAAATTGAAGTACACTGTCGAATAAATTACCCAGTTACTTCTAATAAGGTGGTTTCTACATACATCCGTTTGTAAATCACACTTTTTTCATCAATTTAATCCAAGCGGGACCGCTTCGAAGGATTTAAATGAAATTATTATAGTAAATGGATTTTAAAGCGAAGAACTGTTGTACATGCCCTAACATTTTGCCCTAACATGATTCGGCTAGGTAAATGCTTACGTAGGACAAATGTGTGTGGCACTGTTTTTTTTTTAACTATGACCAAATACCTAAATGGCCCTTTGAGAGCCTGAAACTGTCCAAAGATAAAGAATTAGAAATCAGTAACAACTTTTTCTTGTAGCATCGACCTAGGTTAACCTCCCATAGCTTAACGAAAAATTTTCATCGTTGCTTTATGCACATGAGGTATCCCTGAACAGCAAATTGTTTACGGAATTTTGTAACAAAATTGACATGCCATTTTGGTCGGAGCGGAAAAAAATATATAGCCACAAACAATATGTTTTTTTTTCTATTGATGATTAATGAGCATGAGTGGATCTTAAAGAAACTTAACAGTAATCTGAATCAACTCCCCTATTTTAATGGAAAAGTACAATTGAAAATGGCGTTTCGGACGTTACATTGTCCGTAAACAATGTAGACCCTCATTTAACCCACTAGAACAACAAATTAATGAGACTGTATATGGTTTGAGTAAGTTTATTAGTTGCTCCAAGTGATTATATTAAAAGAAAATATAATTTAATTATAGTAGTGCTTATATTAGAAATATGCTCAAAATTTGAAAAAGTCGTCTCATTTTCCGTAAACAGTTTTGTACCGTCCGAAACAAAAAATACCAATAAAATGATAATAATCCATATTTTAAGGTATCTAGAGTGAATAAATCATAATGAAATAAGTTATTGTAAGTCCTAACACAAGTCAAAACACAAATCAGGTCTTTCAAATCCATTAATTTGTTGTAATCACAAGAATGGTGTTTCGGACGTTACACAATTGTATTGTTAACACAAAGTCGACAAATTTCACCTAATTTTCGATCATATCTGCAAGTTACCATTTCACAATGGACACTCCTGTTAAAAACACTATTTTGATGATTTTATTCAGATTTGAATATAAAAATGTGTAGAAATATGATGCCAAAAATCAAATAATCCGTAAAATATCTAAATTTTCTGCAAAATTGACTTATAAAACATAAAACATTGAAGCCACACTTTGTGATGCAAGGCATGGCTGGTTGCTTCAGTATGTCATTAATTGTAATTTATCAGAAAAAATCTCAACAAAAGTGACTCATAACAAATATTCAGCTTCTTTAACAGCACTTTCTGGTATGCTGTTAGCACGTTTCGGACGTTACATTAAACTGTTAACAGACATTTTCATACTTTAACTAGTTCAAATGAGGGGCAATGATAGATGTGAGAATAGCAAATTTCATTTGTTCAACCTCTCCTTTTGCTATTTACATTGGTGTGTGTTTGCAAATCATGAGGTTTTCATTTTTATAGAGGTTGTTCCAAATGATGTCATATAACCAAAGATTGTATGGTCAATTTACACTATCTGGTAGGTTACAAAAATCAAAATCACCCACTTAAGCAATACCCAGTGTGCATGGTCATGACATGGATATGATACAGGTATATGAAGTTGATAAAATCAAGCAAATTAAAATGTATTTCTAAAAATTTATGAGAAATATGTATTTTCATCTGAAAATACATTTTAAAAAGGGCACTCAGTACATGTAACTAATCTATGTAGAAAGGATTACTACTGCCATTATCCAAAACTGGAATTGGAATTTACGCTTAATAATGATAACAATTTATCAAGCAATTTTATGAAATTGGCTTGCACACTACATGACACACTCATCGGTTGCATATATGTACAATTGATGAGCACAAAGGCTTACATTATAAAACAATAATCAGTAATCAGTATCCGATACCTATTCTAGAAACTTGTACAACATAATGTTGACATAGCTGTAGATCTGCCAAATTTCCAAATGACAAGAAAATGGATTACCAATTAGTGGGGGTAATTTAAGCATGAACATGAAAATAAGGTGTAGCCTCTTCAAAATTAATTAATTCATAATTTTTTCCTTTCATTGGATGAATTACCCTCAAATGTACTAGCCTTATGTACAAATAATTTTCAAATGCTTGACCCTCATAACAAAATGTACATGTTAATGATCATTTCATGATCCTAAAGATATAGTAACTTCCTCAAATTTATGCAAAAATATCGGGATGTACAATGAATTAGGATTTCCATATTTCTTATTACTTAAATGGCTGGGGCTACTTTTGTATACTTGTTAAAAGTATTTTTGTAATGTTTTGCTTACACTGTACACACTGTACATGTATGTGATAATGATATTATTGAATGACACACTTCATGAATCTAGTTTAAGGCAAAGTACAAAGCAAGCCGATTAAACATCTATGTTGTAAAGTTTAAAGAAATTGATGATCTGATTGAAATGTTCACATCTTGTAACATCCGAAACAAACTATAGCATATATTGTACACTGTTGTTCATAACCTGCAAAAGAGAGTATGTTTGTAAGTGAATTTTCTAGGAGTTGTGATGACTACAATTGCTATTAGCTCCATATTTCACTTTGTTAGATCACATAAGCATTTTTAACTACACGTTCCTGAAATGAACAGTATACCTTACATAAATTGAGTATTCGATGAAGACAAACTAGGTATATGTGAAAAACTAATTAAAACTGCACAAGTTTTTCAATAAATATTAAAGAAATATTTTTCTGCAAACAATTAATGTAACTTAGGTCAATAATACCTAAATAAAAGCCATTAAATTGAATAAAGTTATGATGTTAACAGTGTGTAACGTCCGAAACACCAGTGGTGTGACATATGGAAATTATTAGGCAATGCACTGGTTCCCCAATGTTTTTGGCTGTATTTAACTTGTATGATCAGTTGTTATAATAAAATATGTTTGACCTAAGAAAAAAGCATTTTACTTATTGAAATAAAAACTTTTTATTGTCAAAACCCTAATTTGGAGCTCTTTTTCACTTTCAAGGGACACAAAATCTGTATTTTTCAAGATAGAAACTCGATAAAATTTGCATGAATAATCTCTGAAACATATTCTTAAAGACCAACATATTTGTTGGTGAAGTTAATAGCAAATGAGTTTTATATCACAGTTATTAGATATGCTATAGTTCACAATAAAATTGTAAAAACTCAAAGTATTCATATCTGGTGAATAAATAAGGAGATAGATTAAGGTCCAAAATTTGCATTTCTCAAAAATATGAATAGTCCTGATCCTAAAAATACATGTTTGAAGTGAGTAAACATGATTTCATTTCAGACCCTATTGTGGACACATTTGGTATATGTTAAAAAAACCAGTGCCGTGTAGCTCCTAGCTAGAAAGTGGGATGGGGGAAGCAGCATCCTTCATAATGTGGAATATTACGAATTCGGTATTCCTTCCTTCCGATCGAGCACAATATTTAGGGGCTACGTGCTTGCACATTAATGATAACTTAAATAAATTAATACGGAAAAAAGTCGCTGGCTTTCCAGCTCTTACTCATAATTAGAATACATGTACAAAAATGTCGACTATTAAAAAATACAATTATTTTTCGCTTGTTTGTTTGTGTGCGTCTTTTCGAAACACGGATGAAGGAAATAATGCCCCTCGGAAAAGAATATGATTATTTTTGTTCATCTACGTGATGACAGAATATAACAAACTAAAATACCTTCACCTTCAATCAAGCACCACTTGTTAAAAGATAACAAAAGTAACAGCTGCACTGCTAAAGCCAGGGTAATTATGCTGCATTATTGTAGAGCGCTTAGAGACTTCTGACAAAGTAAGTGTTAGGCGCTATATAAGCACTGTAATTATTATTATTATTATTTTAAGTGGCAGAGTATATCCCATTATTGAATCTCTTTCATCCTCAAAGAGGTTTCTACTTCATTGTATTATTATATTAACATGTTCCTTGATACGCACTCATAACATTATTCTCGAATACTCTATTCAAGATATACTGAGGCTTATTTTAAGTTCAGGTTTCAAAAGATATAAGAAATATCAAATTAAATCGTGAGGAAACGCCATAATCAAGGTCCCTCTTAACGCCTTAGTATGTACTTGACAAGAAGACTAATTGACCTTTGAAAAGCACTTCTATGTAAACGAATACCTGTTCAAGTCTCATCACAAAAGTTAAAAGGTCACACATGGAGCAACCTCTATTTCAGTCTCGAGAATCGTATGGTTTAACCCATTCCTTACTGCACATATAAATATGCCTTCTTCGTCACTCATATCTTTCGTATTAATTTTTGCCGGCGCTAATAATGAAAGCTGCGTCAAGGTTGATTTTGTTTCTTTCATCTCTTTTCTCGTTACCTTCACTTACGCAAGAGAGTATCAAATATGTCAAGCGTTGGAGAGTAAAAACCCCGTTCATGAAAAATAAATTATTTGCTCGAATAGATATGTGAAGAACTGTTGAAAAATACATATACATGTAAATTGATGACTAATCTATTTTCAAACGAGTTGTTATAATGTATTTTGGAGGTCTCTTCTAGTAAAAATATGATTTCAGAATTTGATGTACATGACTCAAAGTACCTGTTGTACAATTGATTCCCATGAATCCTGCTGCACAGGTGCATCCAAAGGGGTCTGGTAGGCAGAAGAGTTTACCCCGACACCCTGGACTGTGATCATCTCCTGAAGAATCACAAGAAAAGCTGCCATCCTGCCCAAACCGGTTGCTGCCAAGGACTTGGGATAAAGTGACAATAAAGAGATAAGGATACAAGTGCCTTCATAATAGAGTTTAAAGGACAACATGGGCATCGCCATTTTCTTGATTGCATGGCGTACTATGCGGAGTCGTTTATAGACTAAATGTATTTAAATTTATGGATGCTTCCTTCCCAGGTGTTCGTGGTGTTGAAGTATTTCATTTCCCTGCTATAATATTTTGTACTCCAATTGCCAGAACGCAAATTACATAAAAAGGTTGATGTTGTTCTGGAATGAAGGTTTTGAATCAATGCAACAGATTTTTTAACCGCTACATTTTAGTACTTTTAAGTAAATGATTTAAGTAAATGAATTATAATTGTTACCCTATTATATATTTTTCACCACATGTAATTTTCACCTTCTTAGCTATGATTTTCCCTCATCGAAAATTAAAGGTTATGTTATTGAATTAAAAAGACTTTCCAATTAAAGATTGGGGCATGATACATGTACAACTCCCCGTCTGGTATGTCACATTTTCTTGAAAATGGATGCGCCCATGTCATGCTAAAAGGCATTATATTATACCAATAAATCTTCATTATATATCTCTTTTACCAGTTCGTAAGAATTATTGTACATTAAAAGGCAGTAATTCATCTCGTTTTTCAGAATACATACACTTATTCTTTAGGGTTAGTTCTCCTTTAAAACGACATTACGCAACAGATTAGTAATACTGTATCGAAATTGAGTTTAGTTGATTTGAATTTTATTCGCGTGATAGCTATATTGAAAAGAGTTTTAGGTATAGAACTATCAAAATGTACGAAATGACCGATGAAACAATGCAGTTTCCTTATCCAAGGTTTTCATCGATTGAATATTATTAATATTGTTACTTTTATCACTAGAATTATAGAGTATTGCAAACTGAATATTATCATTGTTTTCATTCACATCTATTGAACTTAATCCAAAACATGTTTTTGAAAAAGGTGTTAAGCTTGCTGTTGACGCATACGGGTAGTCAGGGTGTAAGGGGGGCACAAATTCATCCAAGTTGAAAAAAGGGCCTTCCATGAAACTGAAAGGGTGAGTGTGTTCGCGCGCACGTGTATGTGTGCGTGTGTGTGTGTGTGTGTAATATGTTCTTTCCCCCCCCCCCCACCTCCGCCTTGTTCAACAAGTATGTCTTTGCCAGTGTCTCGAAGCGCAGAGGACCCATATAAGTTTAAAACATACCGTGTTCACATGTTGTCCCGTTGAAACCAGGATGACATACACACTCTCCCGAGTCTGCATCGCACTTGCCTCCATTGAGACACTCAGTACAGGTGTGTTCACATTCAGATCCCCAACGATAAGCTGGGCATCCTGTTTGGAGTAAACAGTTGTAGTATTTCAAAGTGGAAAACAATGCAGCATCTAAACAATATCATACATAGATTACCTATATGCCAATATGCATCAACATGCCTGCATTCTGACTTTCTATTTCTAAATTTCCACCTAACACATAAAAAGATAACAATCGTCAATATTCGATTTTCACTATGCTGATATTATTGCATAATTTTTTTTAAGGAATCAATAAAATACGCTACTATCCACAGAACTTAGATACATTTTTTTTTTTTTTTTTTTTGGGGGGGGGAGGCCTTACGCATTACTTTTTACGGATATTTCGTTGACAACAATAATATTGAATTATAAGTACATTTTGTTGCAAGTTCAACGATCATGTTGGAAATGAAAGGTGCTTCGGAATAAGAGAATATGTAAGATACATGTACGAATAGGTAAGCTGTCAACTTACTGACGACATGAAGTAGGAATATTGCATTTCCTGCATCCCATCGTTTTCCAGGAAAAAAACACTTATATACCCCAGTTTGGTTTAGCTGCATGTTCTTCAAAGTTAGACTCTGCTTTCTACTACTGTCAGGTACAACATCTCCATTAAACCGCCATCGGAAGTCATCTTCCGTTCTGTTGGTGACAACAGCGATTGTAACAGTTTCCCCGACATGGACAGTCAAAGTTGTCTGTTCAGGCAGGAATGTTGCTGCAAAAATAAATGGTTTATTATATGCAAGAAAAACAATGTTCATGCAGTGCAGAAGCAGCTTTGGGGGAAATTTCTTCTGAAAAATATAGATTATATAATCTGTGTAGGCGTACCAGTTTGTAAGTACATGAATGGTGTTCTTTTTTCCAATCATAAGCACATGTACGCTTGATTTTTAGGACTGGAAGTAGGCGTATATAAATCATCAAATGTAAAAGTCAAAAAGGGGTATTCTTTCGAATGTATGAACAGGCTTATACAAGATATATTTTGACAATTATTTGAGTCTATCATTATATTGAAGGTGTCGTGGTTTAGTAGTAAAGTAACTGAAGTACATCGTACAGATTCGAATCCCTGTCATGGCAATACTTTCGTTTGTCAAGACATTAACCTATAGATTAGCTTCTCTCCCCACAATGAAATAAATGGGTACCCGGTGGGAATAAATCCTTCAATGCTCGGGGGCCGTATTAGGGTCGCCCGGCTGAAGCGGAGGGAATATGATTGCAGGCCCTCGGGAAGAACGATATTACAAATGATGAGGCTATTCCTGAAGACAAGGAATACCATATTGTTATATTACATTAGGTCAGGGAATGAGTAATATAACTTGCTCAGAAAATGCATCTCGCATCCGAATTTCCGACGTTTTATCAGTGCTCTATCACTTCCACAAATGTGAAAATGTTTTACGATCCGTTATTTTTTTTCTTCAGTGTCCTCCTACAATATTAAGTAGATATATTTCCTTACAAATTTCAAGGTATAGGACAGTGTATATACATAAAATTGCTATTACCCTCATTTCGTTTTCAAAAGATCTTCTTAAAATTTATCTCAGTTTTGGGGAATATTTTTTCCTTCTAGAATGGAGCTAGTTGTATATTCTTCCGAAAATAAATTATTAAGGTGCATGAGTTTAACCATTTTCAAAGATTCAACAAGAATTGGTGGCCCCCATATGGCTGTGCATGCTGTTATATGATCCAAGAAACGGAAACAACGTACAAGCATCAGACACTGTAAAAAAAAGTTGGGCAGATGTTACTGGGTAAATCGAAGTTGGGCAAATTTTGTCCGATAATTGGGTTATTTTCTCCCAACTGTTTACTATATGAAGTTACTTAATGAAAGGTAAAAAATAGGATGGGTAGATGTTACTTGGCAAATCGATGTTAGGCAAATGCTGTCCAATAATTGGGTTATTTTCTATCAATCATGTAGTAACCGATAAAATGAGTGGTTAATATTATTGGGCAAATTAGAGTTGGGCCATTTTTGTCAAAAAATTGGGTTATTTTCTCCCAACCATTTACTACATGCATTTACCCAATTAAATGTTCAAAATAAGTTGGGCAGATGTCACTTGGCAAACGTGAGTGGGGCAACATTATAATGCGACAATAGGGTTATTTTTTATAAGAGGTGTCGTGGTCGAGTGGATATGTCACATGACTATGGATTATGAGGTCCGCGGTTCGAGTCCAGCCGCGGCACTAATCTCTCTTTGCATATGATATTTTATCCAACTTATTTGTCCAACTAGTGTCTAACTTATGCTACACATTATGGTAAGAATTGGGTGAATTTTTGATTGGGTAAATTTTTGTTGGTTAAAAGTTGGGTATTTTCATTTTATCCAACACTGGGTAAATCATGCAAAATCTTTAATTTACCCAACAGTTGCTTGGACACATAATCGCCCTCATGTTGGGTGAAAATTGGGCAATTTTTTACCCAACATTTTTTAGAGTGTACATCAGTCACACCAACAAGACCGTATCAGAACAATTACCCCCTCGACAATCATCCCCGAAAGAATTACCCCCTTAAAAACTAACCCCTCCCCCCGAGGACAACAACCCCCGAGAACAATTGCCCCCTGAAAAATTTAGACAACTAGACATTGTGCTGACTTTTATTTACCTCTTATAAAATCACTTCTCGCTAGTGATTATATCAAACGTCCTTCATCACTCAATTCATTTAAGAGAAATATGACCTAATTTTTGCAAATATGTTTCACGGATGACAATCTCAAATATTCTTAACTTTCCTATTTCTAATCGGATTTTGCTCAAAGTTTTGCTAACCAGTTCTCTGTTTGTTTGCGCTTTTAATAAAACCAACTTGTTATCGGGGTGGAATTCCCCCTTAATGAACAGAGGGTAATTGTCCTCGGGGTGGTTGTCCTTGGTTGTGGTTTACCTTAGGGGTGGTTGTCATTGGGGGGGGGGGTAATTTTCCGAGGTGTAATTGTCGCTGGGGGTAATGGCCCCGTTGGTAATTTGCCGGGGTGATTGTCCAGGGGGTAATCGTCCTCGGGGTTGTTGTCCTTGATTGTCCTTGGTTGTGGTTTACCTTAGAGATGGTTGTCCTGGGGGGGGGGGTAATTTACCGGGGTGTAATTGTCATAAGGGGGTTAATTGTCCTGTTGGTAATTGACCGGGGGTAATTGTCCTAGAACCCAAACGAGACCGATAAAAGACTGACAACAGACCCAGTAAACAAGTTACATTACCTCCAATAGCCCCAAAACTGGTCGGTTTGGAGTTGGTTTTAAAGACCCTCGATTACAAATATTTATACTCACCATTGTGCATCAAGACAACAGTTGAAGAAGTACGTGTGGTTCCTTCATATTCGAAAGCTACGAAGAATGCTCCTAATGCCTTGGTTTGATTAGACTGTTCGAAGATTAGCTTTCTTATACATTGACCTTCATTTACTGTGACGATGTAGGTTGGGAGACGTGTAGTATCAATGGTCCGAATAATGCGGTCAAACATAATAATGTCTCTGATGCTCGCATCTTTCTGTCCTAGGTAAGCGCCGATATATTGATCACGTGTGTTGGGAGGATCCAGGAGGGGGTGATTGGTCACTAATGTCAGGTCTACGATGTATTCTAGAAAAAACAAAACAATAGTCAATAATAGATTTAATAGCATGCACATCTCAGTAGACTAATTAGACCAGAATTTGTTATTAATATTTTTTTTTTTTATTGCAACCAAAACTTGAAATTGGATTTCAAATAAAAATGCAAATACAAATAGAGATAGATAACAGTTGTACAAATATTGGACACAGTCAGAAAAAAACTATCAATTCTGAAACATAAATATATGTATATAATCATGTGCTACAATCGAATTATTATACATTATGAATTAATTAAAGTAAGCTCATGAGTACAATATTTAAAAATTATTGTATATAACATCAGAATTTATAAGGGCATGTATGTTTCAAAATTGAGCAGTTGATATTAATAATGGATTAAAAAAAGAAAACATTACACAGATTGAGAACCGAGCTGTGGGAGAGGGTGTCGTGTATCGCCTACTGTTGAGAGACAGGAGGGCGTAAACTCACATTCATAACATAGCAACAAAACACCCTTCCAACTCTCAACAGACGATATGTCATGTAATAATAATAATAATAACATATTTATAAAGCGCATAATAAACTGTGGTTTCCTTATGCGCTGTACAAGCATGAATGACGAGAAATGTAAATCTCATTGAAATCAAAATAAGCAATTAACAAACTGAGCCTAGATATGGAGTATGAATTCGGATTCGTTCTACAAGTAATAAAGAGAAAACTGAAAGCAATATTTCAGTATTCATTGAGGAGGAAGAGTATAAATTTGAATCTCACTTTATGTAAGTCATGCAAGTATGATAAGAATGATGAAATAAAAATTTCATGAGACTGATTTTAAAAAAATTATACATTGTGCAACTTGAATCATAACATAGAATGAAAACCAACAGTACTTCCGGTCCTGAATGAGGGGAGTCATCTTTAACAGCATTCGCCATAGGGCCTTAGCTAAATGGGAAGTTACATAGAAGCTAATCTAAATATTTCATTAAAATGCTCACTGAAAGATGCTTTAATCTACAATGGATGTCTAACAGTTTACTACATTAATATTCAAGACACCCCCCCTAACAAAAAATACAACAATAGAATGGCTCAGACGTGACTTATTTATATTTCATCGATATTTGATATTCCTTTTATCTCTAGATACTCCAATTTCTCTACATTCACAAGTTTTGCCCAGAGCTTTTTTGTTATGTTGTAACTCTCAGATGTCTGTTTTTGTTTTGTCAACATGGTCAATAAACCATTTTTGATATGTATTCCGATAGTTATTCAAATGTAGACTCATTTTCCTGGCAACGAGCAATTTAATTCACCTGTTTAGTTGTTGCTAGGTCGGACATTCATTATGGCTCGCCCTAATTATAATAACAATATAAAAAGCACAGCTACTATATGAATGTACTCTACTACACAGTGATGAAAACAAAATTCCTAACGCTAATACTTTACAAACAATACAAAAACCAATTCAAAAGCTTTCAGAAAACAAGTGCGTCTTCAGCAAAAACTCTGAGATAGCAACAGATAAGTCTGTTTGTATGTCTAGTGTTGGGTTATTCCAAAGCTGTGGAGCGGTGGAACTGAAGGCGCAATCTCCAAGAGATTGTCGTTGTGTGAGGTAGCCTTAGAAGGCAGCTTGTCCTGTGTATTTCGTTAGTTATGTGCACATGGATGTGATTTAAAAGATAATAATGTAGACAAATAATTTGGGGCTTGACCATTCAATGCTTTTTAAACAACAAAAAGTGTATTAATTGCAATTCTACGCCTTTTGGGCAACCAATGGAACCTTTTCAAAATTTGTTTTCCGTCGGGAAAAAAGAGAAAAGGGGGAGGGGAAAATAGAGAGGGAAAGGGAAAAAAAAGAAAAGAAAAACAGAAAAGGAAAGGAAAAAAGGAAAAGAAAGGAAAGGAAGGAAAAAAAAGGAAAGAGAAGAGAAGAAAGAAAGAGAAAAAGAAAAAAGGGAAAAAGGAAAAGAAAGAAAAGAAAGAAAAGGAGAAAAGGAAAAAAGAACGAAACAAAAGAATCGGGAGATGAAAGAGAGGAGAGAGAGGAGGAGGTAAGAGCCTGAGAGAGGAGGGGTTGTTCGGTGGAGTCGTCTCGTCGAGGGAGCACGGAAGACACGCATAAATATTTTGCTGTGTCGGGTTGGCTGTGTCGGTATTCTTGCTCGATCCTCGTGTCATATATCAATGCAAAAGTTTGAAGTCGGTGGGATGTATAATGTCAGTCGGCCGACAAGTTTTTTTTCCCTACGAACTGTGACGCTTTATCCGCTGTGACGACTTCGAGAGAGACTATAACTAGAATACTAGTTTTTCTCGAAGTTTCACTTTCCTGTAACATCGGCTAAAGAAATCAGAGTTTTAAAATTTTCGTGGAAACTAAATTCAAACAAGGTTTACGAGTCAAGAACGGTACAACGAATCGTCTTTTTCCCCCTAATATTTATTGATACGCCAAAGCTTCCGCGCTTTGCGCGAGAGGGGGTAACTGAATTCATACAAGGATTGAGAGTCGAGAACGGCACCAAAAATTGCCTTCTTTCTATGATAGTTTAATGAAACGTCAAAGCTTCCGCGCTTTGCGCGGGAAGGGGAAAAATGAATTCAGATTATTAGGGTTAAGAGTCGAGAAAACGGTACAACAAATCGTCTTCTTTCTATTATAATTGAATGAAACGTCTGAGCTTTCACGTTTCGCGAGGGAGGGGGCGCGGATTAAGAGTCGAAAACAGTACAACGAATCGTCTGCCTTCGCGCGGGATACGGTAAACTTCATTCAGACAAGAATTAAGGGTCAATATGCATCTAATAATTTGATGAAACGTCTAAGCTTCGCGCAGGAGGCCCTTCAGCGCCCCCCCCCCCCCCCCAGGGAGCGCGCTTCGCGCGGAAGGAGGGAATACTGAATTCAGATGATTAGGATTAAGAGTCGAGAACGGTACAACAAATCGTCTTCTTTATATAATAATTTAATGAAAGGTCAAAACTTCCGCGCTTTGCGTGGGAGAGGGGGGGGGGGGAACCTCATTCAGACAAGGATTAAGAGTCAAGAACGGAACAACGAATCGTCTTGTTTCTCTAATAATATAATGAAACGTCTAAGCTTTCGCGCGGAAAGGGGGAACTGAATTCAGACAAGGATTCGAGTCGAGAACAGTATACAACGAATCGTCTGCTTTCTCTCATAATCGGAAAAATAAATTCCGACAATTAGGGTTAAGAGTCGAGAACGGCACTAAAAATCGTCTTCTTTCTAAAATAATTTAATGGAAATTCAATGCTTAAGCGCTTCGCGCGGGGGACCCTTCGCCCACAACCAAGATTTTTTTTTTTTTAAATATAGTGACCTATACCAGTATTACAAATAAGTTATCAAATTAAGCTCATCTGACCTTAATTAAATGCCCAAAACTCCCAAGCTTACGGGGGCTAGCTACGCTCTACGCGATCATAAATAATGTATATACATCGAATTGTCAAACAGTTAAAATGTACTCAGAAATTCAGATATTTCTTTTCAAAAGATGACTTTCACGTCCTTAAATCTTATAATATGCAAACATCACTTTGGTTCAAACTTTGACTTTTGAGTTGTTAACAGTCAAAAGGATTCAAACTTATTAATTCTCTCGTTTTGTCACACTCAGTATAAAGTAACGTTACGCAAAAAATATCGGGGTTAGTATTATGTAATATGTATAGACTTGTATTGACTTTTAAAAGAGGAATTGTTAATGTATTTTCCCTTATTTTTACAGAATATCTAGTTTCTCTCATTCAAGTATACTTTTTGATTAAATGGAGGTTATTTACATGGTAAATCTATTCGTTAAGATAATAAATGGTGAATATTTACTTACCATTACTCGTAACAACCATGTAGAATAATACAAGCATGAGTCCAGAAAAAGAATTGCTCCAACACAGTAAGGATGCCATCATACACTAGCGAAAACACTGAAGACACTGCTTCAAATTGTCAATCTAGGAAGCATCAACGAGGCAAGATGAAATTGTCCAGGCCATATTCAGGAGTAGTGTTTCCTTGTTCACAAAATTTAGTATTAAATTTAATTTATCATGGATATAATTTATTGTCACTCATAAAAATGGGTTTTTTCCGATGAGAAATTATCCAACAAGAAGGAAGTTTCGGCTGGGCTAAATTTGGCACCACTGGTGAATTTTGTTCGTATTTCTCTCCTATGGTGCAGACAAAATAGCAAATTTAAGCCAGGTCTATAACTTACCTGGTCGCCCTAGACAGAACGAAACTTTCTGCATACTACTTCAATCATCGACAATAGCCCTTGTCAAGACTCGAGAGTACAAAGTTTCCTCCTTGTCTCACAATTTAAATTCGTCTATCGGGGTTGCGGAAATCTTTTAAAGCATATACTTACAGCGACCTGGTAATCACTCAAATGCGATTCAAACTACGTCATATATCGAGCCAGCTATTTATGGAACAGCCAATAGCGTGTTCCGATAGATTGTGTCTGATCCCCACTTTGCAGCTAGAAGATTTGCCTCATCCAAAGGGGAAAATACCACTACGATTCCGGATATCAAGGCGGAACCTTACAGAAACTGGATGTTTATACTGAAGATATTTGTTCTCCTTATAATAACTCAGCTTGTAGAAGGAACGCACGAAATGATTCCATTAGTTACTTATTTGCCATTTACTCCTTTTTCATGCCATTTTAAAAATGTCGTCTTTAATAGCGGTCGTATATTTTGATATGTAATAGGCCCGCATAATGTGTGGACATAATTATGTGGACCCGTATATTTGGGCTCTGTGTGCGAGAGCGTGTGTGGGTTGGTGTGTATTGTGTAGGTGGGTGGTTGTGTATGTGTGTGTGCGTTGATGATTGTGCGTGTGTGTGGGTGTGTGTGTGTACGTTGATGGTTGTGTTTGTGTGTGTGCGTGTGTGTGAACATATGAGACGAGGATTATATGAATAGTGTATTTGATTCACTTCACTAACATTGTTCGAACAAAGCATACATTGATTATAATATACTTCTGCAAAGATCCCCCCCCCCCCCCAAATGTGTTTGAAGACAAATATTGATAAAAAAAATACATAAATTGGGTTTTCTGTTGTACGCGGAAAACTTGAATTGTGTTTCTTTCATAAATATTTGTATGATAGTATCACTACATATGTAAGAGAGTCAGTGAGGCATTGTCCGTAAACACTGCGTGTAATAGGCATGTTACTTCCCTCTCTCAGTCACTCCATTCTGTCTTCAAACAAGCAAGTTGAGGGCGCCATACACTTCAAGCTGTAACCTTTACTAGTTGTCTGGGGTAGTTGTCCTGGGGATAGTCGTCCTAGAGGGTGTTTGCCGTATGGGGTAGTTGTCAAAGGGGTTAGATGACTGGGGTGGTTATCCGGGGGTGGATTTAATAATAATAATTCATAATAATAATTCATAATAATTACTTTTACAGGGGGGCCTACATCCTACAAGCTCTGCTTTTTTGTCGGCCCTCCTTCCCTTTTAACTGCATGTTTATTTGTTTGATGTATTGTATTGAGCAAATTGATTTACATGTATATGTATATTAATATGTGAATATGTTCAAACGTACCATCATTTTAAAAATGAACAGTTGAAAGAGGAGAAATAAATGAACTGAATTGAATTGAATTGAATTGAATTGATTTCCAGTGGGTAGGTGTCCGGATACGACCTTTTCGATATCGTCTGGGGCATCGTCTGGAAAAACTTCTACACCATGCACCTTTGAAAATAATCCACAAAACCTTAATTATGATTTGATGGATTTCGTGTCTAGTTATTTCATATCAAAAATTATTTCACCGTTTTAAATAAAATGGTATTAAATATGTCTTCATAAGTCTTAATGAATAATTAATCGAGTAATTATTAAATAGTTACAATGAGAACGATGGTTGGGATCCCCTAAAAAGCATGATAAATCTTTTTTTTTTGCATAATGGGGTAATTTAGGTGATTTTTTTTTGTAATCATCTTCTTCCGATTAATGCATTTTTAAATTTAATAATTGTTACCGCAATATAATCTGGCTTGTATCTGACTGGCTGTGCTAACAGTCTGCTAAATTCCAAACTGCTTTAATAATCAGACGGATTAATTTTGTTGAGAACCGTTCAAAGTGCCAAATGACGAGCTGAAACAAAATAACTTGATTTGCTTTTGTATTCTTTATTGTTTTTACTTCTTTGATGTTTACATATTGTGCGTTCTATATTTTTATTTATCAGTATTCATATTTAATATGTGCCAAAACATCCCCTGCTCATATGGTAATATATACATGTTGACTTGGATTGCATTATCTTACTCTATTAATTAATTTCTAATTCTACTATATAATGATTGGCTAAACATCCACCCTCATATAACATAATGCTTTCACGTTAATTTTATGGTGCATAGTCTTGGTCTATATTCACAACTATTATTTTCATATTTCATCGTTCACATCCTAACAAATTATCGTTTACCTATTCATCAACTTAAATTCCACTTTTTAGTAGACGTAGAGGTAGCAGTCGTAGTAGTAGAAGTAGTAGTAGTAGTAGTAGTAGTAGTAGTAGTAGTAGTAATGATATTAATAATAACTGATAATTTATTTATTTCACAAAAGTGGAAATAATGCTTTCCACCACATTTCACGTGTACTTCATTGTGCATAGGCCTAGTCTATATCTATATTCACATCTTATTTTTTCATATTTCATCGTTCACATCCTAACACATTATCGTTTACCCATTCATCAACTTAAATTCCACTGCTTCGTAGAAGCATGGAGTTACTAGCCTGGTAGAAGTAGTCGAAGTGGAAGTAGTAATAAAAAACATTCATAGTAATAATGATGATAATAATAATAATAACAATAATGATAATAATAATAATAATGTTGATGATAATAATAATAATGATAATAATGATAATAATTTTAAAAATAACAACTATAATAATAATAATTGATAACTTGATAAACTCTTGTCCATCGAAGCTGTGAATCCTTTCCACTAGCAACGAGAGGCAATAACACTTGTAATCAATACAATGCCTAAGTGGTGACCATTGGTTTGCCCCACGGTACCCTTTTTCATATGTTAATTGAGAGCTGATTTCATGCTTTAAAGAAACTAATCGCATACCTTTACTTTCATGTAGTGTGGTACCCAAGGTGTGCAACTATTTTTACCCAAATTCGTCAGACCTGTGCGAATCATTATTATTTAAAAAGGTTGTACTTCAACTGATCCCCGATATGAACAGATTTGGGAGTAAGGCGAGTAGAGATGGTGAATGAAAACGAAGCCATGATACTTTTTGACAGCTTTCGTCATGGTATTCCATTTGGATACTTAAGAGGAGACGCCACAGTCCATCAGCACAGTTTTTCTTTCAGTTATTGAGATTAAATTTGATATTTCACGATAAGTGATAAAGTATGATTTCATCTTCACGAAATTAAAGAGACATAGACATATATTTGTAATATATTTCCACTTAAAATTATAAAAAACTTTTTTTTGATAACTCAAAATCATCTTAATGGATTTTTTTCATCTCGTGTATTCAATTCTTCTTCACCACGTTGAAATTGTCTCTGTTCATGGCGTCAGTTACATCTTCGTATATAGCTTCTTGATCAGGTTTCTTGAGATCTTGGTAGGTATGAGGGTCAGCAAGATTCTGGTAGCTCTGCGCATCGGTATTAACACCTTGGTAGGTGTGGCTGGCAGTGTGCAGGTCTTGATAGGTATGGACGTCTGTCTTTGACGGATCAAATACAGGGTTCTCATACTGCGGAGACGAATCGGTCTCATTCCCTTTAGACTTAGAAGTGGCTGATTCATCGCTGTAAGTTAATATGAAAACAAAGATATAAACCGCAGTAATGAAATACGTAATTAAAACAATAATTATGTCCCAATAAATAGGTATATATAAACATGTCAACATGACAATTGGTATGGGGGAATGGTATTTACAAAAAAACTTACTATTACATACGACTTTCAAACAGGTTGCCATGGTATTAATAAAGCGTTATGCTTTAGAATATTTACATTGAATAGCATTTTTTTAAACAATAAATTAAATTACTATACAGACCCAAACAAAACTACAATCATAATTTATCTTGTTGTTTCATGACCATATGGTTTTAGCATCTTGCATGGAACAGTACGATTAGGATGGACTGATAAGAGGGACAAGTTAAGAATAAGGTATTTCTCTAACCTTCTTCGCTTGTAAAAGATGATGATGAGAATTATAACGATAACAATCACAAAAATAGCACCAACAGTGCTTCCTACGACTGTTGCTATGGAACCTGATGAAACTCCAGCTGCATTTGATTTTGGTGGAGAAGAGACAGTAGGTGAAGAGGATGGTGTGGGAACAAGGATGGTAGTGAAAAGAAATTACATGAGTTAAAAGTCACGAAGATAGCATCAGAGTTAATAGATTAAACCATAATAAATCAGATACTAGATTTGAAATACTAAGGTAGCATCAGAGTTGATATATATAAATGATAAATAAATCAGATACAAATGTAATAGCAGCATAATTATGATCATAATTGATTGCAATGGCATGTGAACAGACCGGTCCCAGTAGTAAGCTTACTAGCACAGCTAGTCATGCACGATTCGCGTATGGAAAGTTGTGTGTGTGCGCGCGCGCCAGAGGATGTGTGCGTGTGTGCGTGTGTGTGTGTGTGTGGGCGACGATTATTGTCCAATGAATGGAAAATATATAAATCTATAGAAGTGAGGTCAAGACGAACAAATAATAAAATTTAATGATAATAATAGTAATAATTATAGTAATACGAGAAATTTAATTCGTCATTGGAACAAATTAGGTGGTCTGTAATTCAATCTGAACAACTGGAAGCCTATAGACATCTATGAAGGAGAGTGAAATCATATATTTATATGGGACGAATTGATGTTGCAGTATACATTGCTGATCATGAAGATGGTGATAGCGATGATGACGATGATCATAAGGATAAGAAGAAGAAAATGCCGTGTAGATTTATGATGTGAACGAAATTCACCGTCCATAGGCATAACACACAAATTAAGACAATTCTGACATGTCGCCTAAATTTTCACTATGACGATGTTATCAAAATGAGGAATCGTGTGGATTACTATAGTAGAGAATTGTCGCAGCTACAACATATCAATATTTGAAAGAAAATCGATCAATATTCACAGAGATACAATCAATTTTCCATAAATGTGCTGACGTCATAATATGCAAATTCGTATTTTGAGTTCCAAGGCCATTATGATGATGTCACGATATACTTAATGGCCAAATGAGACATGAAATCATATCTCCGACTCATACTCTATCCTAAAATGAGAAAAAATGGGGGCCTCCAGGCATCCGAAAGAGCTTTAAAAGATGTGTTATATGCATGACGGTTTTACGTAATCCGACGATGACTTCTACAAACATGGACTGTATCAAAACCGATATCAATTGGAAATTTGAAACATACAGTTTCCCCATACTATATATTATAAACAATTACTCTTTAATCACCTATAGTGCAATGTGTACAACGGAAAATTGCATAATTCATGTATTTATAACCAATAAAATAAAATATTCCGCATATCACAGTATGTCTCTATGCGCTAGGCCTTTATCTCATTTCGCAAACCTGTTATCATTGCCATTTCCATATGCCATGCACTTCTTCTCAGTGGGATAGTAACTACTCTTATTCTGAAGCGATATTCTGTGCAAGCATCAAGACCAGTTATTTGAACATCGTTTCTTCGTATGGTCGTTGGATACCGGACATATCTACCCTCATGAGTAGGATCATAGAGTTCGTATTCATAGCCATCCAAAACACCGTGTAGGCTTTCACAAGAGGGTTCCGCCCACACAAAGCGCAATGAGTCGGCAGTAGAGGTGTACGACACTGATTCGATGGCAGAGGGGTCTGTGAATAATATCAAAGTGTTGAATAGTTAATTAACAACATAGCAAATGTTAGTAGATATAAATCCAAAGCTGAAATAGAAAAAAGGAATTCGGATCTTATTAATCATTACGGAGAGTGACAATATTTCTTTCAAATGTTTAACGATTACAAATCACTTTATATGGTTTTGCATTTGCCCTTTGTCTTATATTTAAACAAGGCTGATGATAATTTGCATTACAATAAATCTTGAACCCTTGAGAGAATACTGTATAAATCTCATAAAAATCTTATACTGGGGTGCGAAATTTCGGGACCTAAAGGAACATACACGATGAGCAAGGCGACCAAGCTTTAGAAACTTTTGCATTTGAAACCTTAATACGAAAAATATTTCTAATGGAAATTGCTATGCAAATTTAGACTTTATATCATAATGATATTTATCTTCTCTTTATACCCTTTCTCTTTCTCTTTTGCGTGTTTTGCGGTCCCTTCAAGTGCCACCCGGAGCAAGTGCCCTTCCCTCCTCATAGATATGCCAACGCTAGTATTAGCATAATTGTTTACATACCTCCATCTCGTGACGAGCTTTGGACCAATAACAACTTTGTTCCCTTATATTATATCCAATATGCTTAATGACAACACGGATAACATAATACATCACCTTGTACATTTCTTAAAACTGTTATGGGGAAAGGATATTTTGCTTATAAATTCATTACTCACGTCCTGGCCTGGTCTCTGAATAGCCCATCGTGGGTTCTCTCTGCCCGGCACCATTTACAGCTGTAACTGTGATCTGGTATCGCGAGTAAGGCTCCAACCCCACTAGATTATGATTATTGAGTTGTGTATAGGTGGTGTTCACTTTAAACTCTGTTGGGGTGGTTTCTGGTGATTGGCAGGCAAGCTTCTGATAGAGACTGTAGCGTATGATATAGTAGTCAGCGGAGCGTGGATTAGATGATGGTTCCCAGCTGACTTCAATTTGTGTGGTTGAAGGTGACAACTTTAGGACTCCTACACTTGCGGGTTCTGGAAATAAGTTTGAATATGAAATATACATGTAAACGGAACTTGTAATCTACAAATCAAGTAGATGTGTTTTGGGTATAAAAAGAATTGGAAGAAAGTTGGATTAAGAAAAAATTCTACGAGGCACTCAAAACGTTAGGACTTTGTATTAAAAAATATGATGGTGATGTTATAAGATGTGTAATATTCCAAGTTTAAAAGGTTTCTGGGGACATCTGTGGAAACTGACGTGACGTTAAGTTTGTAGACTGGAGCATATATTATAGGAATATCTTGACATGCCTTACATGAGATTGGAAAATTTCGAATGTTTGATATAACTGCGCCTCTGATTGTTATAGATGGCGAAAGTACAAATGCCTATTAGTTTTACTATTAGTTTTACCATCAGTAATATTAGTAGGGGAAGTAGAAGTCGTAGTAGCAGTAGAACTAATATTTTTTTTAAATTGTATTATTATTATTATTAATAACATTTGTTTCTCGCAAACAAGATTCATTTACACTTTATATAAAACAAACAGCAAGGCGTTGATATTTTCTGCTTCATATCTTAACACGCCTGTATTCTTATGTTAATCTATGATCCCATGTGAGCTTGCGTGTATCACCGTCAACGTCGTGAATTGGGGAACTTCGAACTGTAAACAAAAAGTAAAACGATAATAAAGAAGGAAACTGTTAGGTATTTTATACAAATACACTCGTCCTATCATCCAGTCAACACATCTTGCATACACACGGCAGGGTTCAAATTCACCACTATGGGAAAAAACAATAAGTGTTCAAAATTTAAAAAAAATTACTATGAAAACTGACTATTCGGGAAAATATAAATCACCTTGACAGTTGACACCAATCCAGCCTTCTTGACACGCAGTCCCATCAATGCATTCTCCTGTATCCTTGGTACAGAAGTTACGTGGAGAGCAGTGACACTCTTGCAAACAATGAGCTCCATACGTTCCTGGGTTACATTCTTTAACAAAATCATGGGAATTGATAAGTAATAGAACATAAGGAACATCATTATGAGGTAGGCCGAATGTGCTATTTAAACATCAATACCTAAATAACTGGGTCAATGAGGTATTTATAGTGTGGTACGGTATGTCACTGAAACAGCTCCCGTAGCATTTTTGTGCCAAAGTTGATTTTTTTTTTGTTGCTGTTTTGGCTTCAAAAGGGTCCCAGCGTACAGAAGAAGAACTTATCAATTGCACTCAGTGCTCTAAATCCTTTGAACTTTATGCATTACTAAATGTCTAATCACTTTTGTCCAGTTAATGTACCGATATACTGGCAAAAATCAGAGAAATATCTACAATAAAACACCTTTTTGGCTCGAAATTTATATTTCACACACTGCATCACTCATTAAAATTGATATCAGAATGAAGGTATTTTAATTATCCATCTTTTGACACCAAATACATGGTGATTGGAGATTTTAGTTCAAAAGTTATCTTTAAAACTCGATGTAAACACACCAAACAAGTCCTTAATACACTAATGCACGTATATGCATACATTTATTACACATGTGGGCAAAAATGTTGTTTTTGTGGAAATCAAATCGATAACTTTGGATTGCTATGACTTTTTATTGAAACAATACATAAAACTCTCCCTCGCACAGGATACTGTCGTTGTACATACAAAAATTCCTGGAAAGTTATGACAAAATGCAATTCTCCAATTTTGATATATGGAAAATAATGTTTTTTGATAAAATTCAATTTTTCGATTTTTTTTTTTTTAAAAATCATGTTTTTTACTTAAATTTGCGCTGTTAATTAATCCCAAATTCTTTAAAATTGGTATCAAAATGTAGATAATTTAACTATCTTTCATATGACACCAAATTCATGGTGGTTCAAGGTTTCTTTAAAATATTAATTACATAATACTATTTTGTCGTCAAAAGGGACACTTTTGACATTCTAGACGGTCAATTTGTTATGTGGAGCTATGCGATCTTTACATCTGTGCACATGAAAATTGGTTTCCTTCCCAGCTAGGTTGACCCCCCCCCCCTGGCTCCGGGTCTAGGACCCCCCCCCCCCCCCCAGGAAATGAAGGAGGGGTCTGAAAATTTGCACCCCATCATTTTTTACCAATTGGGACCCTTTTGAAGCCAAAACAGCAACAACAAAAAATCAACATTGGCACAAAAATCCTACGGGATTACATACCATACCGCACCATTTAGGGTGCGTTTTGAATGCTTGGTAGATTTGTATCAGCTGGTTCGGGTTATTTTTTTTTCTCGTCCGCTCCCACCCACAAGTGCATTTGAACGTCTTTGATAGTTCGATATAGTGATAATTATAGAAAGATCGATTTCAATCATTTTTGAATACTCTCTTAAATTCGGTACAGTTTCGAATAAAGTACCTAGATATTTGTGATATGCAAGTTTCTACATGTTATTGTAGAATAGGCTTTAAAAAAATATTCGTTTAATTGAAATGGGGCCGCTTCGAAGGATTTAAATAGAATCAATAAAGTTTATAGTACATGGGTTTTAAAGCAAAGAACTTTTGTACATGTATGTTGCCTTAGTAATGCAACATTCTGCCCTTACAGAATTTGGCTAGGAAAATGTTTATGTTGGACAGATTTGTGTGACTCCTTGCCAGAAAGTTGGATGAGGAAGCGTTATCCTTTATAATGTGGAATATTGTCAATTCAGTTTTCGTTCCTTCTTTCGAGCGATTTTAAAAGACTATGTGCTTCAACGAATCCAGAATCGTGCAGCCCGTATTATTTCAAATGCAAGAAAATATGATCATGTGTCTCCCTTGTTAAAACAACTACACTGGTTACCTGTTCATAAGAGAAGAATGTATAAAGTTTCACTATTTGTTTATAAATCCATATATAACCTTATCCCATCCTATATTTCTAGTCTGTTTTGTCCCATCCAGCAATCAAGATATCCATTACGTTCAAGGTCAGACCCCCTTCTTCTGCAAATCCCCCGCATCAATTCGAAGAAGGGTCAACAAAATATAATTTTTTCTGGTCCCACTATTTGCAATAGTCTCCCTTTAAGCATTCGTTCTTGCACCTCAGTCGCATCATTTAAGAGACATTTAAAAACTCATTTGTTTTCTTTGTCATTGTCATTTTTTAGAGTGTAATGCACTTCGAGAGTATATAACTTTTATGTTTGTATTTTAAAATGTAAGGCGCCTTGAGCATGTTCATGTAAAGGAGCTAAATAAATACCAATATGTATGTATGTATGTATGTAATGGCTACTTCAAAATCTTGATACGGAAAAGAGTCCATGGCTTTCCGGCTCATCCTCATTCATAGAAGGCATGTACAAACATTTTGACTATACGATAAAACGTCATTATCTTCTCGCTTTTCAAAACACGGATAAATGAATTAATATCCCTTGGAAAAGAATATAAATATTTGTTTTCAGTTTCACGATGACGGAATAATAAAAACTAAAACACTTTCACTTTCAACCCAAGCACCGCTTGTTAAAAGATAACAAATCTCATGTTTCGAATGGCAGAGTATATCCCATTATGGAATCTCTGTCAACCTCAAAGAGGTATATAGTTCATGGTCATATGTTACCATGTTCCTTGATACACACATAACATTACTATCGATTACATTGTTTAGGATATACCTGTGCTTATTTTAAGTTCAGGTTTCCAAAAATTAAAAGTGGAACAAATTGAACCGTGCTGAAATGTCATGATAAGAACACTAATTGTCATTTGAAAAGCATTTCTATGTAGACAAATACTTCTTCTCATCACACGAGTTGCAAGGTCGCACATAGGCCAGCCTCTCTTTCAGTCTTGAAAATCGTATGGTTTAACCCATTCAATACTGCAAATATAGATATACCTTCTTCTTCACTCATATCTTTCGTATTTTATTTTTGCCGGCACTAAAAATGAAAGCTGCGTCAGGGTTGATTTTGTTTCTTTAATATCTTTTCTCGTTACCTTCACTTACGCCAGAGAATATCTAATATTTTAAGCGTTGTAGTGTAAAAACCCCTCTCATGAAAGACACAATTATTTGCCGGAAGAGACATGTGAAGAACTTTTGTAGTATACATGTACATGTACATTTATGAGTAATCCATATTTACACACGTATGTTATATCACATTCTTCTTTAAGATTATGTATTTTTGAGCTCTCTTATAATATACATATTTGCTCAGGAATGATTCTATAATTTGATTTACATGATTATAAGTACCTGTTGTACAATTGATTCCCATGAATCCTGCTGCACAGGTGCATCCAAAGGGGTCTGGTAGGCAGAAGAGTTTACCCCGACATCCTGGACTGTGATCATCTCCTGAGGAATCACAAGAAAAGCTGCCATCCTGCCCAAAGCGGTTGCTGCCCAGGACTGAGGATAAAGAGATAAGAATACAAATGCTCTCAACATAGAGTTTCTAGTATTATTCTATCGACATTGAGTTGATTCGATTCTGATTCGAGTGATAGCTTTATTGAAAAGAGTTTTGAGTATTAAACGATCAAAATGTACGAACTTACTGATGAAACAATGCTGTTTTCTTAACCAAGGGTTTCATCGATTGAATCTGATTAATTAAAGATGATGTTGTTATGTTCATCACTATGCGTTAGAAGAGTATTACAGATTGAACCTTATTTCAAGCAGGTATTTTACATGAAATCATTGTTTTCATTCACATCAAACAAATTTTGAGCTGAATGCATGACAAGAAAATAGTTTGGCATGTGTGCAAATAAAATGTGTAAACTAAAATATGATATAACTCGACATTTCGCTTCGGAAGCTTGGTGTCGAGACATATGGGTAGTCAGGGTGTGTGTGTGGGGGGGGGGGTAAATTCATCCACTTTGAAAAAAGGTCATCCATGGAACTTATACTCTTTATGAGTGTGTTCGTGTGTGCACGCGTGTGTGTGCGTGTGGGAGGGTGTGTGTGTTTGTAAGTATGTGACTCTTTGTTTTGTTGTGTCTATCTGTTCCCCCCCCCCCCCTCGCCCCCAAATTGTTCAACAAGTATGTCTTTGCCAGTGTCTCGACGTGCAGAGGACCCATACAAGTGTAAAAACCTACCGTGTTCACATGTTGTTCCGTTGAAACCAGGAGGACATACACACTCTCCTGAGTCTGCATCGCACTTGCCTCCATTGAGACACTCAGTACAGGTATGTTCACATTCAGATCCCCAACGATAAGCTTGGCATCCTGGTTGAAGTAAACAGTATTATTATTTCAAAGTGGATAAGAATCCAGCATCTAAGCAATATCAGAAATAGATAACCGATATGCCAATATGCATCGACATGCCTGCATTCTAACTTTCTATCTGTAAACCCCCTAACACATATATAACAATTGTCAATATCAAATTTTCAATATGCTAAAATTATTGCCTTTTTTTTTAAAGGGAAAAAGAATCTATAGCCAAAAAATGCCATGTTAGTATGGAAACAGCCGTGAAAATATGCTGAAATCCACCAAACATAAATACATTTTTAGGACCTTTCGGATTAATTTCACTGATGTTTCGCTGACATCAATAATGTAGAATCATAATTACTTTTGTTGCAATGAAAGTTGCTTCGAAATAAGAGAACATGTAAGATGCATGTACGGATAGGTAAGCTATCAACTTACTGATGACATGAAGAAGGAATATTGCATTTTCTGCATCCCATCGTTTTCCAGCAAAACACTTGTATACACCAGTTTGGTTTAGTTGCACGTTCCCCAAAGTTAGACTCTGCTTTCCATTATTGTCAGATAACTTATCACCATTAAACCGCCACCGAAGGGAATCTTCCGTCATGTTGGTGACGACTGCGATTGTAACAGTTTCCCCGGCATGGACAGTAAAAGCTGACCGTTCAGGCAAAACTGTAGCTGTAAAGTAAATGGGAGCATAATGGGAGTAATATACCAGAGGAAAAAAATGAATTGTAGAAGCAGCTTTAGGGGAAGTTTCTCTAAAATAAAGTGATTTATTGTAGAGGCTACTTCTAAAGTCGTTTATCGACTGTATGATCTGTATAAGGTTTTAAGCATATGAATGGGGTTCCGTTTTCCGATTAGCACTTGAACGCTTGATGTTTAGTACTGGAAGTATAGAAATCATCAAAATAATGTAAAAGTAAAAACGGGGTATCCATTTGGATGTATAAATAGGCTTATATGTACATATTTTGATGACTTTTTAATACAATCATTGTATTGAAGGTGTCGTGGTCTAGTAGTAAAGTCGCTGAAGTACATGGTGCGGTCAAATACGCGTCACGACAATACTTTCCTTTGGCAATACATTTCTCTACATTAGCTTCTCCCCCCACTATAAAATAAATGGGTACCCGGTGGGAATAAATCCTCCGATGCTCGGGGGCCGTATTAGGGTCGCCCGGCTGAAGTGGGGGAGAAATATTGAAGGCCCTCGTGATGGACCATATTAAAAGTGACGAGGCTACCCGAAGACAGGGAAGACCATATCATTATTATATTACATCAGGTCAGGGAATGAGGGAAAAATGATCAAGAACTGCAATTTTGAAAATGCTTTTTAGTGATTCTAAATGTTTTCTATCCGTTGATTATTTTCTTCTTCAGTGTTCTCGCACAGTGTTAAGTGGAATTGTTTCATTACAAATTCACGAAATAGGACAGTGTTTATACATGAAATCGCTATTACCCTAATTAAAAGCTATAAGATAATTTTGATATTATTTTTCAGTTTTTTAGAATGTGTTTTCCTTTAGACCGGAGTAAGTTGTATAAATCTCCTAAATTAAATTATTAGGCAACGGCCAGAGGTCAATAATCTGGTCCCTAAGTGTCACTATTTCCAGAAAAATGGTGGCTCCCAGTTGACTGTGCATGCTGTTATATATTCCAAGAAACTGAAGCATTGTACGAGCTTTAATCTTCAGTCACACCAACGAGACCGATAGGAGACTGACTACAGACCCAGTAAACAAGTTATATTAGCTCCAGAGGCCCCAAACTGGTCGGTTTGGCGGTGTGACCAAGGTATTAAAGACTTTCGATTTTACAAATATTTTGAACTCACCATTGTGCATCAAGACAACAGTTGAAGCCAGACGTGCGATTCCATCATATTCAAGAGTTGCATTGAATGCTCCTAATGCCCTGGTTTGATTAGACTGTTTGAAGTTAAGCTTTCTTATATCTTGACCTTCGTCTACTGTGTTGCTATATTTTGGGAGAACATGAGTATCAGTGGTCCGGATAATTCGGTTAAACCTGATACTGTCTCTGATGCTTGCATCTTTCTGTCCTAGGTAGGCGCCGATATATTGATCACGTGTGTTGGGAGGATCCAGGAGGGGGTGATTGGTCACTAATGTCAGGTCTACGATGTATCCTAGAAAGAAAGAAAATAGTCAATAATAGATTAGTTAACATGAACATCTCAGCGAACAACATTGACCAGAATTTAGGTTTCCAGTCCTGAATGAGGGGAGTCATCTTTAACAGCATTTGTCATGGGACCTATAAAGCTAAATGGAAAGTTACATAGTAGCTAGTATGAATCTTGCATTAGATTGCTCACAGAAAATGCTTTAACCCGTAATGGATGTATAAGAGTTTAGTTCATGGGTATTAAAGACATCCATCCAACCCCCCCCCCCCCCTCCCATAAAACAAGAACAATTATTGATCAAAAATGCTTCGACCAGGGGTTCTCTTAATTTGTCAGACGGACAATAAATCTTCTGAAATTACTGAGACTTTCCCATTTTACACTTACACATAAATTACCGTTTATAAAGAGGAGGGTGAACATTTTCAAAACAATCCTAGATTGACATAAGGCCAAATAGCATTTAATTAATGTCATTATACTTTATACATGAAACTGTGTTTTCAATAGGAAGTACCTTCCCCATTTCCACCTGTGTTTCATCGCTTGTAATGTAATTTATTGCTAATGAATAAAGAAAGTTTGGAGATGGCAAGCAGACTACAAACAAATGTTCTATTTCTCAAAAACATGGCAGTGATTGGAGAAACAATAATATAAAATTCCCTTCTTTGCTATAGCTTATAATAAAGGTTAATCATTGCATGAACGTTACCTGCGGATGTACATGAACAACAGTATGAAATTAAATCTGCTCTAAACCATGACATACATGGAATAAAATCTACATCAATCTTGCTGGGTACTTGATTAAAAGAAATATTCCTTTCAACACTCACAACCCTTCATCGAATGACTAATGCAATCAAAATATTCCTATAAGATTTCCTCTCTGTAAGACAGCCTATCCACCCAGGTGTTAAATGGGTACCCGGTAGGATGCGAAAGCTAATGTGCTTAGATTAGCAAGTGTGCGCTTGTAAAAATGATGCATTGGCTGGAATGCTCCCTAGGGAGTGGAGAATGTGAACACATTGTGTGCGGGTAAGCCTGAATCCGATGACCGGGGTAATAATATGATTGCAGGGCCCTCAGGGAGAACAGTATGAATACTGATGAGGCTACCCTGGGTAAACAAGACATATTATTATTATTATCATTATTATTACAAACTTTCTGCGGACAAATACCCAAGTAAATTGGGGCTTTCACCGTTCAACGTTATGTTAACAAGCAAATGTATCTCACACGCAATACTATGCCTCATTGGCAACCAATGTAACCTTTCTATCAAAAAGATGTGTAATAGTGGAACATTTCGTGGAATCGGATAAAAGTATTGTACATGCATTCTGAACGCGCTGTAACCTGATTATTTGTAAATATGGCAAGCCAAACCATAATCCATTACAATAATCAAGCCTACTGCTATTGAATGCATGGACAAGGCTTTCAGTGTTTTCCGGTCTTAATATCGACAAATGTGACGGACATTGTATCAAATAAAAACTGTAGAAGGCAGATTTGCATGTGTTGGATATGTGCTTCTTTATGTTTAAAAAAGAATCAAGCCATATATAAACCCTACCTAACAACGCGTAATGCATGCAATTTTGCATACTGTCATACAATTATTGAGGTGCATGAATAATAGTTAGAGCGCCTTGAGCACGTGGCTTGGTGGATATGTCCGCTATATAAATATCCGTTATTATTATTATTATTATTATTATTATTATTATTATTATTATTATCTATCGAGGGAATACAAAGAGATATATTTGAAAACATAACGAAAATGGCTCATTGAGAGAAGCGACATTCGTCTGCATTACCCTGTGTTATAAGAGACGCTTCGGACTTGTACAATTTCACAACGGTATACTGATGTGATCTCAATTAATTACTGACACCGATTTTATGTCCTCGAATTGTCAAACAGTTAAAATGTAATCAGAAATTCTGATATTTCTTTTCAAAAGAAATGTCACAAACGTGACTCTTAATGACTTTCACATCCTTAAATTTGGTATGCAAACATCACATTGGTTCGAGCTATAAGTTTTGAGCTTTTAACATTCAAAAGTTTCTTTCTTTCTTTTATTAATTATTTCTTTCTTTTTGTCTCACCTAGGCTAGTATAAAGTAACGTTTCGCAACAAATATTCGGATACATATACTGTAATATGTATGGACTTACATTGACTTTAAAAAGAGAAATTTGTTATGTTTTTGTTTTGTGTGTGTAGCTTATTTTATTTCTCTTATTCAAGTATATTTTTTGAATGAATGGATGTTATTTATAAGGCACATCGCTTCGTAAAGATAATGTGTATTTATTTACTTACCATTACTTGTAGCAGCTATGTAGAACAATCCAAGCATGAGTCCAGAAAATGATTTTCTCCATCTTAGTAAAGACGCCATAATACTTAGGTGAACACACTATTAAACAGGTATAATATGTTTATCAGTGATTAGTCGAGCCGTGTGCTCTATAGATACACCATTCCAAATCCTTAAGGAATTCTCTGTAATGGAGTGTGTTCGATACTAGCCTTTTGACAAGGCCTCGTGACTCTGGCTATTTTCCACCCCAATCAGCGGTCGCTCGGCGTCTATCAGACATGTGGCCTTGTTTAAAGGCTAGTTCAATACTAAATCCAGGCCAGAAAGGCCTTGAAATTAACTGGTTGCAGCCTCAAAAATTGACATTTTAAACAATCCAAGCGCACCTTTGTACATGTAGCTCTTCAATACCAGTCTCTTTACAACTGTTTGGTTCGCTTGGATAAGGTACAAGTTCTGCCGTTGTTAATTTTGTTTGGTGATTGACAGTGTTTTAGGTGAAACTTACGGTTCTAAGTTTGGCTATTTGTGGAATCCTAAATGAGAACCGTATTATATAGGCCTCTCTTCTTTTACGTACAAAAACTCCAATCATGATACGAAGAAGCACTATTAGGTCAGCATCGTGCTTCCATTAATCAAGCTGGTCAAGTGAAGATCAGGACCTTGTAAAAACTGAAGACATAATAGTTGAGCCAACCGCATCCACAGATGGACAGAAAGGACTGATTGAAATAATCAATCTAGAAAACATCAGCGAGGCAACATAAAATAGTCCAGGTCATACTCAGGAGTTGTGTTTCCTTGTTCACACAATTTAGCTTTAAATTTAATATATCATGGATATAAAATGGGTTTCCCCATATTAAATTATCCAACAAGAAGGAAGTTTCGGCCGAGCTTAGTTTTGAACTACTGGTGATTTTTTCGTATTTCTCTCCTAGTGAAGACAAAATACCAAATTTAAGTCAGTTCTATACCTCAGCTGGTCGTCCTAGATAGAAGGAAAACTTTCTGCAAACTACTTCAGTCTTTGACAACAGCCCTTGCCAAGACTCGAGAAGACAAAGTTTCCTCCTTTTCTCACAATTAAAATTCAGATATGTTCTGATTTCCTTGCGTTGGAAATCCGTCTATCGGGGTCACGGATATCTTTTGAAGCATATAGCGACCTGGTAATCCCTCAAATGCGATTCAAACTACGTCATATATCGAGCCAGCTATTTATGGAACAGCCAATAGCGTGCTGCGATAGATTGTGTCTGATCCCCACTTTGCAGCTAGAAGATTTGCCTCATCCAAAGGGGAAAATACCTCTTCGATTCCGGATATCAAGGCGGAACCTTACAAAAACTGGATGTTTATATTGAAAATATTTGTTCTCCTTATAATAATTCAGCTTGTAGAAGGAACGCACGAAATGATTCCATTTGTTACTTAGTTGCCGTCTATTCCTTTTAATGCCTTTATAAAACTGTCGTCTTTAATAGCGGTCGTATATTTTGATATGTAATAGGGCCACATGATGTGTGGGCATATATGGGCCGGTATATTATGTGGGCCGTGGGTGCGGGAGCGTGTGTGGGTTGGTGTGTATTGTGTAGGTGGGTGGTTGTGTATGTATGTGGGTGTGTGTGTACGTTGATGGTTGTGTATGTGTGTGTGCGTGTGTGTGAACATATGAGACGAGGAGTAAATGAATAGTGTATTTGATTCACTTCACTTACATTTTTCGAACAAAGCATACATTGATTATAATATACTTCTGCAAAGATCCCCCCCCCCCCCCCCCCCCAAATGTGTTTGATTGATAAAAGAATACATAAATTGGAATTTCTGTTGTACGCGGAAAACTTGAATTGTGTTTCTTTCATCAGTATTTGTATAATAGTAGAACTACATATGTAAGATAGTCAGTGAGGCATTGTCCGTAAACACTGCGTGTAATAGGCATGTTACTTCCCTCTCTCAGTCTCAGTCACTCCATTCTGTCTTCAAACATGCAAATTGAGGGCGACATACACTTCAAGCTGTAACCTTTACTAGGTGTCTGGGGTAGTTGTCCTGGGGGTAGTCGTCCTAGAGGGTGTTTGCCATATGGGGTTAGTTGACTGGGGTGGTTATCCGGGGGTGGATGTAGTAATAATAATTCATAATAATAATTCATAATAATTACTTTTACAGGGGGGGGGGGGCTACACCCTACAAGCTCTGCTTTTTTTTGTCGGCCCTCCTTCCCTTTCAACTGCATGTTTATTTGTTTGATGTATTGTATTGTGCAAATTGATTTACATGTATATGTATATCAATATGTGAATATGTTAAAACGTACCATCATTGTAAAAATGAACAGTTGACAAGGGATAAATAAATGAATTGAATTGAATTGAATTAATGTCCAGTGGGTAGGTGTTCGGATACGACACTTTAGATATCGTCTGGGGCATCGTCGTGAAATTCTTTTGCACCATGCACCTGGAATTTCATCTTCATATGTTTGGAAATAATCCATAAAACTGTAATTATGATTTGCTGGATTTCGTGTCTAGTTATTTCATATCAAAAATTATTTCACCGTTTTAAATAAAATGGTATTAAATATGTCTTCATAAGTCTTAATAAATAATTAATCGAGTAATTATTAAATAGTTACAATGAGAACGATGGTTGGGATCCACCCAAAAGCATGATAAATCTTTTTTTTTGCATAATGGGGTAATTTAGGTGATTTTTTTGTTGTAATTATCTTCTCCTGATTAATGCCTTTTTAAATGTAATAATTGTTATGGCAAAGTAATCTGGCTTGTATCTGACTGGCTGTGCTAACAGTCTGCCAAATTCCAAACTGCTTTAATAATCAGAGGGATTAATTTTGTTGAGAACCGTTCAAAGTGCCAAATGACGAGCTGAAACAAAATAACTTGATTTGCTTTTGTATTCTTTATTGTTTTTACTTCTTTGATGTTTACATATTGTGCGTTGTATACTTTCATTTATCAGTATTCATATTTGATATGTGCCTAAAAATCTCCTGCTCATATGGTAATATATGCATGTTGACTTGGATTGCATTATCTTACTCTGTTAAATAACTTTTAATTCTACTATATAATGATTCGCTAAACATCCACCCTCATATAACATAATGCTTTCACGTTATTTTCATGGTGCATAATCTTGGTCTATATTTACAACTTTTATTTTCATATTTCATCGTTCACATCCCAACATAACACATTATCTTTGAACTATTAATTAACTTGAATTCCACTGTTTAGTAGACGTACAGGTAGCAGTCGTAGTAGTAGTAGTAGTAGTAGTAGTATTAGTAGTAGTAGTAGTAGTAGTAGTAGTAGTAATGATATTAATAATAACTGATAATTTATTTATAATTTCCACAAATGTGGAAATAATGCTTAGCACCACATTTCACGTGTACTTTATTGTGCATAGGCCTAGTCTATATTTATATTCACATCTTATATTTCATATTTCAACGTTAACATCCTAATACATTATCATTGAACTATTAATCAACTTGAATTCCACTGCTTCGTAGAAGTAGTAGAAGTGGAAGTAGTAATAATAAAATTCATAGTAATAATGATAATGATAATAATAATAATAATGTTTATGATAATTATAATAATGATAATAATATTAATGTTGATAATAACAACTTTAATAATAATAATTGATAATTTATTCATTATTGTTCATCGATGCTGTAATAATGCTTTCCACCAGCAACGACAGGCATTAACACAAGTAATCAATAGAATGCCTAAGTGGTGACCACGGTACCCTTTTTCATATGTTAATTGAGAGCTGATTTCATGAGATAATCATCGGTCTGTGACCATACAGGGAGGTCTAATCCCTCCTGGTCAAACTAGTACAGATAGGCTTTAAAGAAACTAATCTCATACCTTTACTTTCATGTAGTGTGGTACCCAAGGTGTGCAACTATTCTTACCCAAATTCGTCAGACCTGTGCGAATCATTATTATTTAAAAACGTTGTATTTCAACTGATCCCCGATATTAACAGATTTGGGAGTAAGGCGAGTAGAGATGGTGAATGAAAACGAAGCCATGATACTTTTTGACAGCTTTTCGTCATGGTATTCCATTTGGATACTTAAGAGGAGACGCCACAGTCCATCAGCACAGTTTTTCTTTCAGTTATTAAGATTAAATTTGATATTTCACGATAAGTGATAAAGCATGGTTTCATCTTCACGAAATTATAGAGACATACACATATATTTGTAATATATTTCTCCTTAAAACTATAAAACTTTTTTTCATTTCATTTTGATGGACTTTATTCATCTCGTGTATCAATTCTTCTTCAGCACGTTGACATAGTCTCCGTTCATGGCGTCAGTTACATCTTCGTATATAGCTTCTTGATCAGGTTTCTTGAGATCTTGGTAGGTATGAGGGTCAGCATAATTCTGGTAGCTCTGCGCATCGGTATTAATACCTTGGTAGGTGTGGCTGTCAGTGTGCAGGTCTTGATAGGTATGAACGTCTGTCTTTGACGGATCAAATACAGGGTTCTGATAATGCGGAGACGAATTGGACTCTTTTCCTTTAGACTTAGTAGTGGCTGATTTATCGCTGTAAGTTAATATGAAAACAAAGATATAAATCGCATTAAGGAAATACATAATCAAAACACTAATTATGTATAGTATGGTATTTATTCATCAACATATCGCAGCCAATGGCTGAATTGCATGCATGATTTACAGAGATTTTATTTTAAAAATATTAAAAAAAAACCATCATATTTACAGTTCGTTCTTTAACAATAATTCAAAGACAAGAACCTCAATTAAACTCATAAACTGTCCCAATAAATAGGTATACATAAACATGTAAACATGACAATTGGCATGTGGGAATCGGTATGGTACCTTTAAAAGACTTATTATTTACATACGTCCTTCAAACTGGTTGCTATGGTATTAAGAAAGCGTTATGCTTTATAATATTTACATTGAAAATCTTCTTTTTTTTTAAAGAAATTAAATTTCTATACAGATCCACTCAAAAATACAATCATAATTCATCTTGTTGTTTTATGACCATACGGTTTTAGCATCTTGTATGGAGCAGTACGATGCGGATGGACTGATGCGAGGAACAGGTTAAGAAAAAGGTATCTCTCTAACCTTCTTCGCTTGTAAAAGATGATGATGAGAATTATAACGATAACAATCACAAAAATAGCACCAACAGCGCTTCCTACGACAGTTGCTATGGAACCTGAAGGAACTCCAGCTGAGTTTGATGTTGATGGAGAAGAGACAGTAGGTGAAGAGGATGGTGCGGGAACAAGGATGGTAGTGAAAAGAAATGACAGGAGTTAAAAGTCACGAAGATAGCATCAGAGTTAATAGATAAATACCTACTAAATCAGATACTAGATTAGAAATGCCGAGGTAGTATCAGAGTTGATATATATAAATGATAAGTAAATCAGGTACACATGTACTAGCAGCATAATTATGATCATACTTGATTGTAATGGCATGCGAAAAGACTAGTCCCAGTAGTTAGCTCACTATCACAGCTAGACATTCATTCGTGTGTGTGGGTGTACGATTATTGTTCAATGAATGGAAAAGTGAGGTCAAGACGAACAAATTATCAAATTAAATGATAAAAATAATGATAATAATAATAGTAATATAATAGTAATAAAAATTTAGTAATAATATCGATTATCAAGGAGCACTAAAACCACAATCTTAACCAAAATTATGCTCTATATATACATGTAAATGTTGATATAGTTCTACTAACGCGGACATCCAATTTTTCCGAAACCAAAACCTTTGTTTTTAGATTCGAAATATGCAACGATTTCGATAATTCAATACATTTGTCCATTATTGTGAGCATACCTCAAACAGGAATTGCAATTTCGATGTTCAGCAATGGTAACTCTCAATGTACTTGGAAAAAGTATCTGCCGTTCATGTTCAAAATCTTACAGTGACACCATATTGTCAAAACCATGGCAGTAATGAGTCGCGTTCTGACTGATGAACGCGTAAACAAAGGTCATTAAGAATGTGGTCTAGAATCCAGCATTGCGACATCTTCATTCTCATGTATATATTAACATATTATAAGATTACATTTTATAAAGCACCTTTTCATTAGATACAAAGCGCATAAAAAAAGAAATACTGACTAACAAACAAAAAGAGAGAACATTACCGTACGAAGCTTACATTAATTACAAACAGAGAGGAATATTAAAACGAATAAGAACAGATGTAATTCCAGACACCTCTTGAAAGCTGTGAGAGTAGGGCAATTTTTTAGTACAGGTGGTAAGTTCGGGGTTTAGGGGGCAATGATAACGGGAAAAAACCTATCATCTATCTGTTTACTGGTTCGAGGGACGGTGAGTGTTGCACTACTGGCTGATGATGTATTATACATGGATGTGTGCGAATGGAGTAGATCACCTCGGTATGATGCGGTCTGATTAGTGATACACTTGTAAGTGAGAGTTAAGGTGTTATATTATGATACGATTATTAACGCGGAGCCAGTGAAGATCAGTGATGAGAGGGAAGATATGGACACATTTTTTGTTTACAATGAATGAGAGGGTTCCCCCACACACAAAGTGCAATGAGTGGGGAGTAGAGGTGTACGACACTGAATCAGAGGGCAGAGGGGTCTGGGAAGAAAGTCAAAGTGTTGAATGATAAAAAAAAACCTAGCAAATATTAGTACTTGTAAGAGGTAATTCGCAAACAAGTGTACTTTAAACCCCTTGAGAACCCTTGAGAGAAACTGAAAAAACTATATCTTATATTGGGGCGCGAAATTGGGGGGTCTGAAGGAACATACGCGATGAGCAAAAAAGAAACTTTCGCATTTAAAACCTAGTATAGGTATATAAGTATTGATATTCATAACTTAGTCAGACCTTGCATGCAAAATTGATGCAAAATCAGGAATCTTGGACAAAAGTGATTAACTTCGAGAAATCTGCTCAATAAATTTTGACTGCATTTACCACTTTGATTCCCGATCGTAGAGAACCATTTGTTTTGGTACTAATTAACAATGATTGCTTACATATTCGTAGTAAGTTAAGCCGCATTGATATTGAACATATTGAAGAGGTTGGTTTGATCTAAAAAGAAGTTACAAGTACAAGCAATGGGAATGTGCCATGTCTCTTTAAACGTAGGACAATCGGGACAATTTCCATTCAAACGCAAAAGCGATTTCAAGTGCAAGACTCTCGTAAAATAGGCCATCCTACCTGTTTGTACTTCAGACGGATCTCCGAACAGAGTGGATTTCTAAATAAAAGGTAAACAAGGAATATGAAAAACATTTTTACTGAAATGAAATGTTGATGTATTTATCCAGTAGCAGTTTTAATGAAGTTTAGTCGAACCTTTTCTATACTAGGGAAGCGCATAACATGTGTTAATGCCTCTGCGATATACATACAATGGCCATATCCTGCACTTCCAAGTGACTTTGGGTAATAACAGGTACCAAGTACTGAAGTAGTTAGACCACTTTCTTCGGAGTTCATAACGGCGGTTAAGTTTTTAAAAATGGTATAGGCCTATCTGTAATGGTCCATCAAGTTGTGTAGCACGAATCATTACAAAATACTGAAATTCTCTAAAAGGCTAACCCATAACACTTGAATTCTTTGATCCATAATGTGTTATTGTATTTTTCCCCCACGGAACTGTCCTCTAAATAATACCACACGTTGCGTTTTTCTGATAGGGCTTGTATCTAAAAGGAGCTATATTAGACAATGATAACAATATCAGAAACACCCGACGAAAACACTTATTCTTAAGCCACTCATTATTGTCCCTTATAACCGATATTTGCACCTAAATATTACTTCCACAATATAATTATGCCACGAAACCGTAGGCTCTTACATCGTGTAGGCAGACCGTCAGTCCCTTTGGACATACATATCCACCGTATACCTTTCCTCCAACATTGCTCTCAACACCTATTCGAATATCATATATCGCTTTGTCTTTGAGGGGTGCATTGTGGTAATGTCCATAAGTCTCGTTATCCCCTATAGTTAGCTCTATCGGAAGATCATCTTTGCTGATGTTAGCTGCTATGTATGAGGAGGGATTCTCGGCATAGGATCCATACGCTGCCTGTTGACGTCGGCGCCTTGCTAACGGACGTCTCTCTTCAACAGCAACAAGTATGTGCCTGAGAGTTTAAAGAGATATTTGTCATGATTATACCCTCTATCACTATCCTTAATTTTAATAATCATCATTTTATTCCAAAGCAAGGACGAGGAAAACCTAAATTTATGTAGGCCCTTGTCAGTCCTTGTGTAAATAATGTTGATGCCACAGCTTGTATACATCATTACATGACTAGCAGACTTTCTTTAAAAAATCATATTACTTCTTGAAGTAAAGTAGCCTTCACGATTAATAAATTAATGCTTTCAAGAATTAATATAACAAAAGCTTGTTCATTAATAAAGTTATGAGAGGTTTTATATTACTGTTTATAAGCTCTGGTCTATATATATATACACATAAACAAGATACAAAGATTTATATAATTTAAGGTCGACAAACATCGTTTGGAATATGTAGCTGGCGAACGCCAGACACGGCTAGCAAGAATACTTACGTTATATATGGAGATTCAAGCACATCACTAAACTGAATGGTAGTCGAACCGTCAGGGGAAGATACTATCACTGGTGGGTTGGGCTTTGGAAGCTCGTCAGCTATGGCACATTACAAAAAAGAGATGTCAACATCAAACTTAAACCTCATTGAGCAATTATCTTTATCCAATATTGAAATTAGAAATATCCTCAGAGACTAGTAATTAATTCTAAGTATCAGTTTTCCGCTGCTGTACACGTCGGTTATAAACCTGTAGTCTGGTAGAAATAAAAGCTGGATGGTGATGGTATTCTCTTGTTTCTTATTCGAAAAGAAAAGTAGAGGACGGTTGCACTAAAGTCCTCATATTTACCACGTGGGACCTGGGCTTATTGTCCCTGATGTAATTCGAACCCTGTCATCTTGATTTATAATGAATAGTGTAAGCAGTGTTTTTTTATAAAGCTATAGGAGGTGTCAATGGTTAAACATGGGGGCCTTTAGTCAGCGTTGAACACCAATAAAACTAATGTTAACATGCATGCAAAACAATTTTAGTTTAACGGGTTTGTCCTATTGTCGTCATCTTTATTGTCAAGATGGATGGAGAATCATATTCACCTTGTTACTTATTATCATGTTAATTTGTAATCGTATGTAGTCTTTACTGCAAATTTGACACTACCCTCTCACAATATTATAACCCCTATTAAATTATCTTTATTTTATTCACTTATTTATTTCATCAAATATGTATTTATTTATTCTTCTCCCCCCCCCCCTTTTTTTTTTTTTTTTTTGGGGGGGGGGGGTTCTTTTTTAACAATTTCCAAATTTATACATATTTCTTCCAATACCTGCAGGAGGTTCCGTAAATTCTTCAACATGCTGACTAGACTCTCCCTCCCCTTTGCTAGTGGACGCTACCACGTAGACCTCATAGAGTGTAGCTGGCTCCAGATCATCAAGTTCAAAGCTCAAAGAGGCTCCCGCTACCTTTTCAATCGTAAATGAATCTCCTGGCTGGAATGATCTGTCGTATGGCTTTCCTTTTACTTTGTAGGCCAGCTAGAGAGAGAGAGAGAAAGAGAGAGAGAGAGAAAGGTTAGAGAGAGAGAGAGAGAGAGAGAGAAAGAGATAACGCAATTGTGGATAATACCATCGTCTACTGATGTGTATTAAGGTCACCTTGTGGATATTTGCAATTTGACCCGGAAACAACTGAAAAAGTCTTTGTCCGTTCATTTTTAAAAGATCGGTAAAATGCATCTGCATACATTTTTTTTTTTTTTTTGGGGGGGAGGGGCGTTCAAACGATTCTTTATTAATGAGACTTGAATATCAAACTGCTAACCTGCACTGTGAAGCTTATTTGACTCATCGAAACAAATCTTGGTTGAACAAACTCCACAACTGTACCTATACTTCAGCATAAATTATGATTTAGTGATTCCGAAATGATTCAGAAATAAATTTATTTTAAAAATGCGTTTCTTTTTCATAAAATGGATTAACTATATTTGTATATCAAAATATCAGTCCTATTCAAGTACTCAGATGAAACCTAGTCACCTAGTCTAACCGAAGATACTGGAAACCTCAACTTAGAACAAAATATTACCTGATATAGAAGAGAACTCCAAAGAGAAGGTTAGAAAAAGGATTACAGTTCGGATACACTTTTGTATTGTATTGTATTTATTAACATTTATTTCCTTCTCAACAGCACAATATAAAACACAATGTATATATACATGATATATGTAACAATTATTTATACAGTAAATAATTCAGATACGAAAGGAGGCGAAAACCCGGAAAGCATAGCTTGAGTTGGGAACGCCCATAATAAATTAACACAGTTACCGAAAGAACATTATAGATATTATTAAGAAAATTACATTGTATATAAAAGAACACTTAAAGCATTACGAGAACTTTCCTTGAAATTAAGTATTGAAGTTACCGTATGGGAGATGATTTTTCCACGGGGGTACCTCGGCTCCTTCCAGGTGATCAGTAAAGATTTTGATCTGCTGGAAACAGTCAACGCCTGAGGCTCACTAGGAACTGTAAAGCAGGAAATAAGATCAATACAAACAAGTGCAATACAAGTCAATATTTGTGTACGATTGTATCATTTAGATTTCGAACCTAAAACAAAACGATCATACAGTTAACTACTTTTTTTTCTCTATGCATTGGTTTGCGTTGTATTTGTGCAGAGAATTTAAGTGTTTTAACATCTACTGTAGATTCGTTTTATTTAAATTGAAGGTTAAATTGTAGAGGTGTTGTGGATAAGTCACCCGAATGCAAATCACAAGGTACGGGGTTCAAGTCCCGCCGCAGCACTAATGTCCTTTGTCAAGACATTGATCTACATTTGCCACCACTCTCCACCCAGGTGTAAATGGGTACCTGATAGGCTTGCGCGCTAGTTACTTTGGTAGCTCGGCTACGACCAGGGTAGTATGTGTAAAGCGCCATGAGTGTCAAAACCTGACGGATACCGGCGCTATATAAATAACCATATTATTATTAGTTATTAAGATAAGATCTGGCTGAAGGATTTTCAATACGGTTCTCCAAATTTATGTCTACATCTGTGTCATCTGTGTAATTATTCCCTCCCTTAGTCAACTAAAACTGTTGTCTAAAGTGATATTTTTTGTGCAATAAGCCTAATATTCCTGAACATATACTCAACCGAATATCCTTCCGAACACTTCAATGGCGTTCTTACATAATCTAAAGATGAATTCTACATAGCCAAAACGATATACGGCATTGAAATTGCCCTTGAGTTGATTTCTTGAAAGTCTCTGCGATTGTGTTTTATGAACATGTGATGTTTTTATAGCCTATATTTCCCTGTGTCTGAACGTTTTTTTCTTTCTTTTCCTTTCTGAATGGGGATGAGTATATTTCTACAATAATTATTTTGATCTACATGTGACATTATAGAAATGAGAAGATAAATATCGTACTTCCTTCCGATGTAATCCTGACAACAGGTGGGTCCGGGCTTGGGTCACCAACACCCCGAATGGTCTCCGCCATGACCTGTATAGTGAAAGAAAAACTTTGTGATATAAAAGGGAGATGAAGAGCGGGAAAGTACTAATATAGAGAAGAACAAAGTTATGAACCTCCTGACATTGTTTTCTATTTCATCAGAAAGAATATAGATACCAAGATGGTGTAAAAAAAAAACTCCTCACCATACATATATATTTTGTTTACATTAGAAAAATCAGGAAACCCACAGAGTGCTTCTCCTTGTTTTGTCCCTCGTCATCCTTTGAATGTCATCCCTTAAAGCCCATCTGTACTAGTTTACAGGAAGGATTAGACCCCCCCCCCCTGCATACAAGGTCACTGGACAGGTGGTTATCTCATCAACTCAGCTCTCAATTAACTTAAGAAAAAGAGGATCACGGGGGACCCATGGTCACAGATTATGCATTGTTTGTTATATAGAGGGCCGCGCACGAGAGTGAGACTTTAAGTTCTATATGAGCTATCATACAACAAACACATCGTAGAGTCTTATATCTTTAAGTTCTCTTTGCAAAACGCAGGATTGAGGAAGCCATATCTGAAGATATTGCCGACAGAAACTCTCTGTACGGATGGATACTATTTTAAACCATAGGTCCGTTATCACAATATTAAGAAAAGGTATTTTATATCCTATTATCAATATACAGAATCCCTTTAGAAAACGACTTAAGGGATCACGCTTGCCTGAACGGAATAATTCATGTCCGGCTGGAGATGGAGAATAATTGTGGAAAACCTGTAGTTAATGTCAGAGCAACGCCCGTCCCGACACGAGATGCTGACGTTTCTGGGCGTGGAACTATTATCATCCGTCTCACAGTAGAGAATGTAGTAACCTATTATCCTGCCCAGAGGAGGGTTCGGTGACATCCATTCTACTGTGATGCTCTCCTGGTCGGAAGATGGCAGATTTACTCCGATTGGTTGATCTGGGCCTGTAATATACACATGATGGAGACAAGTCGTAGGATAATTATGGTCGAAATAACTGAATGGTCTATCACACATTGGAAGTAGTATAAAATAATATCATGTTTCGTTTTCTGTCGGTTAGTCTGAATTAAAAGATCCTCATAGTGAACCTATTGACTGGCAATGATGGCGGAAGATAGATTTCAACAAGCAATGTTAACAATTTAGATGATTATTATTGTACTCGCACTTGGCAACACGCACACTCAGAATCAATAACCCACTATGGACAGCTGTCAATAAGGGTCTTGGGTGCAAGAAATCTAAAATTCACGATAACTCCATTACGTCTTATTTTATGACTGGTAATGAATACTTAATTAGGGATCCATTTATTAAAAAGGGAAACTTCTCTATGCTCTTTTTATTTTCGTTTAAGGAGTGGATGAAAAAAGAATGAATAATGTAACAACAAAACAAATTAAGGAATTGTACCAGTACATCTTCTCATAATATTAGTTCCTGTAGATGAACAAGTCTAAATTTCACAACTTTGAGTACAACATAATTATTATCAGAGTTATATTTCTGGTTCTATAGATACACGGTTAACATTGATAACGAACAGCTGTATTTGAAAAGATATAATTTTCGTCCTTAACGCTGTTTTGTCTTCTTCATCGTTATCAAAATGGAACTAAAAGACATGCATTTTGTGACCTACTTGCTTCATCTGTCTGTGCCCAAATCGCAGGACCATACTCCCCTGCTAGTTCATAATTCCAAGCCCTGATCCTAATGCTGTAATTTGAATAGGGGATGAGGCCAAATATCTCGTGCTCAGGTCCCGACACATTACTATGATAAACCACGTTTCCTGGAAATGAACAACAGGAATAATAACATCAATAAAAATGGCTTCTCATAAAGTGCTCTTTTGACGCTCATGGCCTTAAGACATTATTACCCTGCTTATAGCCGAGCCGCCAAAGTAGCTAGCGCGTAAGCATATCAGGTATTCATTTACAATTGAGTGGAGAGTGCAAATGCAACGTCTTGCTAAAGTACATTAGTCCCGTATTGTGATTTGAACCCCATACCTTGTGGTCTACAGTCCGGAGACTTATTCATTAGACTACAAAACCATTACAAAACATCATGCGTAAATTTTACTTGGGAGTATTAAGCTAGCATATCGGAAACAAAGCTAGACTAATTGTTTGTTTAAGGAAATTTCGAAATGAGGCCGCGGAATGGAACAATGGACACCATTAATTTAAAATTTGTTGCGCAGATTTGTCTACATGTATGATTAATGGACTAAATTAAAAGAATGATCATGATGCAAGACCATATTGAATACTACATCTTATTTGCCTTTGCCGGTCGTGATCACTTGATCAATGTTTGAACCTAAGTCAAATTTTTTCTAACTATTTTTATCCACACATCACTGACAAATACACCCTCTAGCTTACAGCAACACTTAAGTACTGACCATAATTCATCATTAATCGAGATTCTGCCTTCAGAATATCCTAAAAGTATCCACACAAAAACGGCGGGCATAATTACTTCAGGGTTTAAAATTGCAAAAGATAAGTCCGCAAAATGACCTATCCGCTCATGTTGAATTATTATACTGAGTTAGACAATACCTCCTGTGCATTAAATAAAAAATAGTATGATTATTATTATTATTATTTCCAAAAATAATTGCAAAAAAACTACATTGGTTGGCGCTTAGAATAAACAAAAATATTTATCTATTCGGTGTTATCCAGTGTTATTCGTCGAATCTATCAATTTCATCTACCAGAGAAAAAAAAAGCAGGTCAGTTTTTGCAAAGAAATATGACACTAGAACATATTTTCATTCAGCAACAGAAAGCAATTCAGATAGGAGATCCATGCTGTCAAGGTTATACCATGACATTTTATAGATGAAATTATCCTTTATCATTCTAACACACGAAATGAGTACGATTTATATGTATTTAATGAATTGTAGAAGCACTACCAAGGATGATGCCAAGGGAAGATACCCTTTTAGATAGATTTTTTAATTTTAAACTTTACTTTCAAACAAGTAATCTCTGGGATCCCACCTTATTTAGCACACGACCAGGTATTCATACCCTATTTCATCTTTAGGTTACCTGTAGAATTGGAGAGCATAACTTCGTAGCTTGAGATTGGTCCATTACGATAACCACATTCTGGTTTCTCCCAAGTGAAAACAATACTGCGTTTCTTGATGGAAGTGGACTGAATATTAGTTGGAGGACCAGTAGGATCTGTAAAATAGAGGAGAAAAACTCATTCTCATTCATTTTTCTTATTCTTCAATTTTGTACTCCATCTACATTTCCTTACTATCAGCTAATCTACATTTTGTCTTCGTAAACATCCTCTAACCCCCTGCAGTATACCTTTTCTAGACTGAACTTCCAGGCCAGCTCATTTCATATTACATATTCTCCAATGATATTTTGCAAGGTCTTATTCAAAGTATATTCGTTCAACTACCAGTTAGAATAATGGTTCCCCTTGTATTCAAATTAGTCAAATAAATAACTGACTTAAGTCTAGCGTCTTATCCCCCCCCCCCACTCAGTGTTATTTAGGGTACGCATATGCTTGTTCCCTCTTTTTGAAAGCACCCCCTATCTGAGGACTGCCAACATTTCCGGACCCCCCTTTCGCGGGCTTTTCGCGGGCTTTTTCTGCCTTGGAGACCCCCCTAAATCATGAAAAATGCTCAATGTACCCCCCTAAATTCGAAATAATTTCTCAGGAGTCCAAAGAGATGAGAGAGAAAAAGAAAAAACATCCCCTTTTTAAAGAAATCTCCGGGTGAAAAGTTAATACACCCCTTTTTTGTTTACAATTCTCGGGCCGGACTTTGTCGCACGAAAAGTACCCCTTTACCGGACATTTTGGTAACACGCATGGGGTCCATCCGTTCTCCGAGTGGGGGGGGGGGGGGGCGTTGTATAAAGTAGATTATGAGCTGTAAATTGGTCTAGGCGTATTGTCAGCTCTCTGTTTTCTCCTGCAGCTGATTCAGAGGGACACGCGCGCACCCACACACACCCTCATGCTCACATCATAAACACACACCCTCACCGCCCACACACACACACACACACACACACCGTCACCCTCCCCTACGTACATCAACACACAATACTAACGTGAATATCCTGCAGTAGCTGATTGGGAATCCGAATCACCATAACCGCTACTGGTTTCGCCTCTCACAAACACCATGTACTCAGAGTTGGGACGCAACTCCAGGACGTTGAAGGTAAAAGTTGAACCATTGACGGTCCCTGCTGAAGTCATTATACGATCACTTGGGGTATCCTCACACATATCGCCTTGAAGAACATAGTACTTGATTTCATAATGTGTAGGCTGGCATGGAGGAGTGGAAGGAGGTTGCCATGATACTGTTAGGCCAGGAGTGCCACTGTTTACCTGATATTGGGTAAGCTCTGTTATAACCGGTATTCCAGGAGCTGATAAGTGTACAGAAAGGAATTAATAAACATTTCATTCGGTCTAATTTAGGTTCCCAATAATTAATTGATTACACTGTGATTACACTAAATCTAATCTCTATCTTTAGAATATGTATTGACTCCAAATAATGTAGTTTTTTCTGATGTATGTTAGATTTGTATTATCCATGAGCCAATACTAGGCTAGCAGTAACAGCTATCTAACTCTCTTGGAGCAACGCCAATAGATGGACTGTATCAAAGCCTGGACTTTGAAACATACAGTTTCCCATACTTTCCCTTGAAAAAAAATACTCTTCAATCGTCAATAGTTTAATGTGTACAATGGACATATTACAGAATACGTGTCTTTATAACCAATACACATGTACGATAGGCCTATATCTCATTTATCAAACCTGATATATTAGTCATTGCCATTTCCACATGCCATTCACTCCTTCTCTGTTGGGTAGTAACTACTCTTATTCTGAAGCGATATTCTGTGCAGGCATCAAGTCCAGTTATTTGAACATCTTTTCTTCGTATGGTCGTTGGATACCGGACATATCTACCCCCATCAGTAGGATCATAGAGATCGTATACGTAGCGATCAAAAACACCATGTAGGCTTTCGCAAGAGGGTTCCTCCCACACAAAGCGCAAGGAGTGGGCAGTAGAGTTGTACGACACTGACTCGATAGCAGAGGGGTCTGTGAAGAAAATCAAGCTATGAATATTTAATTAACAATATAGCAGTTGTAACTAGATATAAGGGGTAAATCCAAAACAGGAATAGAAAACTGGATTTCGGGGTGTACTTACTTACACAAGAAATAATGTAAATCACTATGGAAAGTGACAATATTTCTCTTATAACTTAGAATCTCATCGTAAGGGTCACGCAAAGAACTCCGTCATAACGACCAATACAACAACAATAGTAGGTCCTTTGTCTTCCCGGGCCTACATAACACCACAGAAGATAGATATATACCAGAACAAACGATTGATTCGATGAATTTATTATTATTAATTGGACTCGCTTGTCATGTCATGCGTTACAAAAGTGTGCTTCCGTGGAGTATCTATTAATTATGGTGCTCGGTGCAAACCAAAAAGCCGGAAAAATTGAGATTTCTTTCAATCGATGAATCAAATAACTTTGTACTTGTTCTTTATCTTATATTTAACCATAGGCTGTTGATGATTTAAAAATGTAGCAACGACAGTTGATTTTTTTGTTCAATCTTGAACGATTCAAAGAATTAAATTCTATAATGGGGCGCGAGATTTCAGAATCCGGACGGAACATACGCGATGAGCAAAGCGACGGAGCTTCAGAACTTTCGCATTTAAATACCTTAATTAAAGAAAAGCCTTATTTCTATTGCAATTCATTCTGCAAATTGAAGTTTCATATTATAATCCTATTTGTCTTTCCTTTAACCCCTTTTTTCTTTTCTTTTGCGTTTCCGTTTCCTGCGCCCCTCTCTGTCGCGTGTGTTATAATGTTTGTTTGGCGCTCCCTTCAAGAGCCACCCGGAGCTAGTGCACCCTCTGCCACACCCCCCCCCCCCTTCATCGAAGATACGCCAAAGCTAGTATAATCATATTTGTTTATATACCTCCATCTCGTGTGTCTCCGCTAACATTCATAGGTAGGCTCTCTGCTCTTCTTATCACAGCTATGATGGAGATGCTATAAGTGGCATAATATTCCAAGTTTGTAAGGTATTTGGAGACATATGTAAAAGGCGATGTGGCGTTGAGTTCGTAGACTGGTGAATCTATTACAGGAACATCTTGACATGCCTTACGTGAGATGAGTTGATATGATAATCTGTAGTAATCCACATCGCATTGAGACGGAACACTCCAAATAACTTTTAGTTGATTCCCAGTTGCAGAAGCAGATGCCCTTGTGACTGTATGCAATACAAAGAGAGAGAAAAATGTAAATTGTTAATCTTGCAAAATAAAGTACATTTCAGGAGAGTGGTTTGTATTCTAGAAAGGTATTACACCAACCAATAAACATAACACAGAGACCCGCCTAATAGTCGTATAACTCCATCGTATTACATAGTCATGGTTTTCCGAGCTTAATTCTCTATGTAGCCAAAGATTAAGCTAAACATTTCTACCTGTGTAAACATTGAACATGTGTTTACCTATTACTTTTTAAGTTAAAGAATGTGATAACCTCTTTCCAACAGACGGGATTTCCTTGATTTGGAGTAAGCGTAAGAATTGGAAGCATGTCTATAGAGCGCCAGGAGTGTCAAGTCTGACAGATAAGAGAGCTATACAAGAACCCACAATTACTATTATAATAATTATTATTATTATTATTATTATAGCTGGGCTATTTGTATTCGAGCGCCTTTAACATATCATAATGCGAAGGACAAAATCATGATACAAGAAACAGATTTTATCTTTTCTTTTTTTTTCTTATCATTTTACCTGGACCCTTTGTTATGATAATTATACGCTCTCTAGTCAATACAGGGTCGATATCTGAACCACAGTTAATTATAACAATTATTAATACAATTATAATGCATGACGTATCTAGATATTGAATAAAAAGAGACTTACAAATTCAGTTGAGAATCCCGCCCCTTACTATCACTATTCTTTATGAAAATTCCTAGAAAATAGGTAAAATGCTAAACATATATACGAAAATCTGTAAACATTGTAAAAAAAGATTTTTTGTAACGGGGACAATTTAGTAATCTCTACCTGAAAACCCTTAAATGTCTTAAAGACATGATTATTGAATTCGAAATGTAATGTCGTACATGTATATGGACATAATGTATCACTATAGGAATGTGGATATCTGGCACAAATATGATTTTACTATGCAGTTTTGGAACGGAATAGTTGGAATACGTTCACAAAATAGGGCAATGTGACTTCCCGAAGGTGATTCTAAAAATGTAATTTCATTTGTACTTTTGTGTACACTTACAAGTAACTCCTGTTACACCGATAGCATAAGACACACTTCCAGAATTCCACGGAGCCTGGTTGACGACATTGATATTCAGTTCATACATCGTGCATGCCTCAAGACCATTGAACTCTACTGATGAGTATGAGAAGTCATCATACAAGTATATCCTCCGAGCCGGTGCTCTACTCCTACCACTATCCGTGTAGATTCTTGTATAGTAGTAATAGAACACTCCATTTACATTTCTGCAGTTGAAAGGTTGCCAGGTGAATCCTAATCGTGTTGGAGACGTCCTTTCTGGATTAAGCCTGACATTTGTTATGTTGGACGTTGCTGAAGTGAATCAGAAATATAAGAGAACGTACCTAAATCCGTTAAAACTTGACGTTTTATTTGTTTACGCAGCAAGGCTAGCGTGACGGCTGAAGGGAATATACATCGCAACCAAACTGTACCATTCATAATTTAGGTAAAGTAAAACAAAATTCTTAAATATGATATTTTTAGATCAATGCGTATGTCATATGCAGGGAATCTAATAGAGATTTGACTGGTAAGGTGTATGATACATTTTCGGACTACCGAAAGGACTTTTTTGTCCACAAGGGGGTATATTTTCATGACTGGGAGTATATCTCTATTACGATCCTCGCAATCGATTTCACGTTAGGTGACGAGCCTTGGACCCATAGCTACTTTGTTTCTGTATATTATATCCAATCTTCATAATCATAACACGCGGTTAACACAATTTATCACCTTGTATATTTCTTGAAACTGTTATGGGGAAAGCATATTTTGCTTATAAGTTCATTACTCACGTCCTGGCCTAGTATCTGAATAGCCGATCGTGGGTTCACTCTGCCCGGCACCATTTACAGCTGTAACTGAGATCTTGTATCGTGAGTAAGGCTCCAACCCCACTAGATTATTGTATTGTGTGACGTTGGTAATCACTTCAAACTCTGTTAGAGTGTCTTCTGGTGAAGAGCAGGCAAGCTTCTGATATAGACTGTAGCGTATGATATAGAAGTCAGGGGAGCATAGACTTGATGACGTTTCCCAGCTGACTTCAATTTGTGTGGTTAAAGGAGACATCTGTAAGGCTTCTACACCTGCGGGTCCTGGAAATAAATGTGAAATATAACTAAACTTGCAATTTGCAAACTGAAAGAATATTTAAGAACAAATTGAAGACCGGTAAATGTACCAGTAATGATGCCATCTAGTCCATATTGGGCTACCATGTACTCCTGAAATTCCCTCGCATGACAGACCTGTGTTCTTTGATTCAATGACTATACATTTCACTCTTAGCGTTGTGATATAGTCTTTATGGTAAATTTTCTTTCATCCGTCAAGATAAGCGATATAAGGTATTGTGAATGTAATACAACCCAAGCGTTAATATTGTACAACTCAACGCACTAAACATACAATTAGAAAACAGATATTCTTACGTATCAAAGACGTGCTCACTGAGAATATTTCTGAAAAGATCCCTAACTCGTCTTTGTTTCTAAACGCTGCGTTGATGTTATACGTAGAACAATCCTCAAGCTCTCCAATGTCGGCAGTACCCGCCGTTGTATTGAATAACAAGGTTCGAGGAAAGCCATTTTGTCCATCGGTGCTTACATTGATTTCTAATCCAGAAAGGGCACTGCATCCCCATGATTGCTCTGGTATTACCTATTATCAATATAAATATGACAAACGGGAAGAATTCACCCATTTTACTAATTTGCAAATGTTAAGTTCGCCATATTCACCGTCAAACCTAACATTTTCAATACGGAGTAAACATACGAAACGCTTTATCCAAACTAATTAACGTACGAAATGATACTTCGAGTGGACTTTTAGTAATGTGTACAATTGTGTATTTTAAATTGAAGTATTTGGGTCCGTTTATAAGCGCTCATACTGAACATTTAAACCCTTTTTTCCAATTAAGCACATTTTAATCATTGAATTTAAGTAAATTAAACTGAAATGTATTCCTTTATAGTTGATAATAATAACAAAATAAAATGCAATGAAATCATTTCAGCTCACCTCCCAATCCAAAGTGATGGTTGTTCGACTTTTATTTCTCACAGACAGAACAGGCGCCTCAGAAGGTGCTGAAAAAAGGATTAATACCAAAAATAAAGACAATTATGTTGTTTTGGTTGTAACTAAGTTACTGGTTAAAACAACTAACCATATATTATTCACATTAGGTGAATATTATACTGTCTACAATTATTTTGCCTTCAATGTGAATTTACTACGGTGAGTCCATATTAACCAGCCTCACATGTCAGAGCGGGAAATTTAACAATATAATTTTTTAAAGAATGCAATGTAATATAGGTCTTTGGAACCTGTTTAGGTCCTAATGGTCAGGAGAAGAAAAGCAATCATTATTTTTAATAAACTATACTCTTACTTTTATCAGATTTATCATTAATTATGATAATATCGCGACTATATTTGCTATTATTAATAAATCTTCAGCTCGAGGAATGAAAATGTGCGGAACCTGTAAGGTACACGCTTGGTTAAGTGCTTTTGTTGTCAATAACGGTTAAAAAATAATAACAACAGATAAATTAAATTCATTAAACTTACTTTAGCCACCAACAATGTTAAATGATATAAATTCCCTTAATCTCAATCTTAAGTTAGAAAGCGTTAATAAGGTCTAGGTTGAAAAGTGTTAATGAGGGTTTGGGAGGGGGTTGTAATTTTTAATTCTTGATTTGTATTATTTGTAAATTGTATTCTTGTATGTATTGAATTTTTATACGGAAAATAAAACCAAACCAAACCAAACCAAAGAGCGGGTGACGTGAAAGAGTGAACTTCATCCCGACTGCGGCCGATAAAATGATGTTGATGAGCCACCCATTATCAGTTGTTATGATAAAAGTCTACTGCTCTTACCAGTACACTTTGTCCTAGCTCTTGCTACTGGGCTGTACATCCCCTCACCCGATGGCCCCTCCCTCGAAGCAGTCAATCTGAAATCATACACTGTGTCCCGTGTCAAATTAGTGATCGTGAAAGTAGTATCTCTGATGAGATCTCTTGAAGCCCTGGCTATGTTATCCAGTCCGTGTGTGTTGTAGTAGACTCGATATCCAATCACTGGCCCATCACCACGATCATAAGTCTCATTCCAAGGTGTCCATCGTATGGTGACCGAGTGAGATGTCATCTTTTGGACGAGTAAGTTAGATTCAACAAAGCTTGGAGGTTCTGATAGAACGTAAATTGAGTTTCAAAAACATTTGTATGAAGCCATTCAAATTTTAAGACTACATATTTAAAGCCCCACTGTACTACTTGTAGCAACTTGCTCCCTCTATATAGAAAACAATGTCTAAGCGGTAATCGTTGGTCCCCCGTGATCCTCTGTTTCTTATGTTAATTGAGAGCTGAGTTGATGAGATAGCCACCTGTCACATGGAAACCATTTTAAAGACAGAAAAGGCAATATAAGAAAACTGACAAATTTTGTTTATTATTTGTATTCATTGTTTGTGACGTACATAGAGATGTACAAAGCATCTTCAATTCCATTCGCATTAACAATGAATGTACTCAGGACGCTAAGCTCTTGTCAGTAAATCATAGCAAAAACAGGTATGCTCATGGGTGTCGATCCGTAACTGATACCTATTCATCAGGGGGGATGATCTATTCATTCATCCCCCCCTGATGAATAGGTATTACGTAAGGATCGACACCCATGGGTATGCTGCTATAGTTCAGAATTACTTACCATAAACAGAGACGGCCAGATCTTTCGAGACACTTTCCCCGTCCGGTTTGCGCAAAAGACAGGTGAAATTCTGAGGTGCCTCATCGAGGCTCACCGTAACCTCGTACCAGGATGTCCTGGTTGATTCAGTGACATTGGTCCCCAGAAAGATAATCCCTTCATCTGCACCGGCTGTATTGGAGACACTGATGTTTTCAGAGGTCGGTGGAGGTAATCCTGTCACGACACAAACCATTGTTATAGGTTCGTTATTGTTAACCTTGGTGTAGTTGAAGCTTGATATGGCGTAAGAAGGAACAGGCTGTGGAGGGATGGTAGGGGTGGCAGGAGTGGTAGCACTAGTAGAAGCTTGAGTTGTAGCTTCAACAATGGGGATGGTTGAAGAAGTGAAACCAGAACTTGCCGATTTCGTTCCAGGAATCGCTGAATATGTAGATAAGGAGAAGAGAAAACATTGTTAACATATGAGATTGTACGCCTCACGCACGCAAGCACGCACATAACACTAACCCACACAAGCTTATACTTGTTTATATAACATAATCATAGAAATCTAGGTATTCTAATGGCAAGTAGGAATTCCGCAGGGCAGTTTAGGAATTCCGCAGGGCAGTTATATTTTTAGTTTCCATTTAAATCCCCTTAAAAACGTATCAATCTATTTCTATCACAACAGAGATGGTAATGCCTTATATATATTTGTTTAAATAATTCATTCAGATATTTAGCGGTAAACTGCTGCGATTTTTTTTTGTGATGACGTAAAGTGTAATACACTTCCCAGAGAGCTCAGTATGCGCAGTGCATCTGTTATTCAGACACTTATTCTTATCTTTTTATCCTTGTGGTGGTTATGTGGTGGTTATTTTAACTGTGCGCCTCAGAATAGAAGTTCTATAGATAGATGGCGCAATACAAATGCCAGATATTGTTACTAATATTATTACTATCAGTTGCAGTAGTAGTGGTACTACTTCTACTACTTCTAGTAGTAGTAGTAGTGGTGTTTTTAATCTATATATTTCTTTTTATTATTATTATCATTATCAATATTATTATTATTATTATTTGTTGCTCGCAAATGAGAGCCATTTACACGTTGTAACCGTTGAGGTTTTATGCCTCATATCTTAACACGCCTTTATTCTTATGTTGAACTATAAGCCAATGTGAGCTTACGTGTATCACCATCAACCTCCTCAATGGGGGAAGTTCGAACTGTAAAAAGATTAGGAAAACAATAATAAACAGGGTTCAAATTTACCACTATAGGAAAAACAATAACTTTTCAAAATACAGTGCTTTTAAAATATAGCTTTTAACTGGAGAGCACGTACTTCAGAATATTATAGAAGTACTTCCAGTTTGCTTAACAATTGATGTGCGGAAATCTTAATCTTAATACTAAATATCCGGCTCTCAAAGGTTCACCTTCAAGTGTAGTTACGATTAAATATCAAGACACACGAGAGCAGACTGTTTGATCGTATTAGCAATATTATTCTGCACATTATATAGCACCATTCCGAGCGAGGCGATATCTTGTTTTTCAATTACTGTTGTGCAAAAACAATCTATAACACCAAGAACGCTTCGATTGCATGGGCATTAGCATACATAATATTTCACAAGACAATAAGATGGTTCTCTATAAATGATGTACTGAATTTACATAGCTGAGTTTAAGAGGAACTGCCAATGATCATATGTGACCTTTGGGGCACCTATGTTCATGTTTGATATGAATGACAAAATCAAATTTGATCGAGATTAAAGTCTGCATGGATTGGAGAACGAACTCCATTGGTCAACTCAGCATAATAGACAAAAGCAGGGAATGCGTGTCAAATGATAACTAACTGCAAATCTAGCCACAAATTGGCTAAAACTAGTATCTGTTTAATCATGAAACTTTTTTCCCCTGGTTCTTGTTGTGTTTTTGCCTTTTGCTTTGACAAGCCCAAGAAATAATGAAGGACGAAATGGATTTCGGCTCTTTATCGTGATGTGTTTATTATGTGATAATAATGTATGGTAAAAATATTAAAAAAACTTTCTATGAAAACTGAAATTTTAATAAAAATCACCTTGACAGTTGACACCAGTCCAGCCTTCTTGACACGCAGTCCCATCAATGCATTCTCCTGTATCCTTGGTACAGATGTTAAGTGGAGAGCAGTGGCACTCTTGCAAACAATTTGCTCCATACGTCCCTGGGTTACATTCTTTAAAAAAATCATGGGGATCGATAAAGTAATAGAAGAAAAGGAACAGCATTATGAGGTAGGCTTTATGCGCTTTTTAATCTTCAATATTTCACATTGACAGGAAGGCCCAAGGTACATTGATATAATTGTTGGCATGATATCAAATTTCTAGAATGAATTCAAACAAATCCTGAATAAATGGGTCAATGAGATATCTAGAGTGCGTTTTGAAAGCTTGGTAGACTTGGTTCCGCTAATTCGTTTTTTTTCTTCTTCAATGCACTCCCGCTCACAAGTGCATTTAAACGTCTTTGATACTTTTTAATAAGATCTATCTAATGATAGATATATTAAGCTCGATTATATTTATTTTTTATATTATCTGTTAAATTCCGATATATTTGAATGAATTACCCAGACATTTTCAATGAGGAGGTTTCTTATATGTATTTGCAGATCATACTTTATATATCAATTTGATCCAAGGGGAACTGCTTCAAAGGATTTAAATGGAATTATTATAGTTTATAGTACATGGGTTTTAAAGCGAAGAAATGTTGTACATGCATGTTGTTTTAGTAATTGGGATGGGGAAACATCATCCTATAATGTGGGATATTACGAATTCGGTATTCCTTTTCTTCTGATCGAGCACAATTTGTAAGGGCTACATGCTTGCACATTAATGGTTACTTAAATAGATTGATACGGAAAAGAGTCGCTGGCTTTCCAGCTCTTCATCATAATTAGAATACATGTACAAAACAATATATGGACCAACCAAGATATTTCAAGAGCCCTGAAGGTTAGGATTTATAATGCCCTCATTCGTCCTATAGCCACCTACGGGTCTGAGACGTGGACGCTAAGGAAAACTGACCGGGATAAACTGGAGACCTTTGAGATGAGATGTCTGCGGACAATAGCAGGAGTCCATCTTCTAGATAAAATCAGAAGCGTAGACATCAGAAAGTCATTGAAAATCTCCAAGACAATAAATGAGGAAATATCCAACCGCCGCCTGAAATGGTTTGGACATGTGGTACGTATGCCACAGGAACGCCTACCAATACAAGTCCACACCAATGACTTTACTGCGCCACGGCCACCAGGACGTCCTCCCCTGAGGTGGAAAGACCAAATCCGCCAAGACTCTGGATTAAGCCTGGAGGCTGCCCAACACCAAGCCCAGGACAGAAATGAATGGAGGCAGACCACCCGTAGGAGCGCAAGGGGACACTCCGTCCTGAGCATTTAAGCTTAAGCTAAGCTAAGTACAAAAATGTTGACTATTAAAAAACCCAATTATTTTTCGCTTGTTTGTTTGTGTGCGTCTTTTCGAACCACGGATGAAGAAAATACTGCCCCTCGGAAAAGAATATAATTATTTTTGTTCATCTACAGAATATAAAAAACTAAAATACCTTCACCTTCAATCAAGCACCACTTGTTAAAATATAACAAAAGGGATATTTTAAGTGGCAGAGTATATCCCATTATGGAATCTCCTTTTATCCTCATAGATGTTTCTAATTCATGGTATTATTATGTTACCATGTTTCTTGATACGCACTCATAACATTATTCTCGAATACTCTATTCAAGATATATTTCGGCTTATTTTAAGTTCAGGTTTCAAAAAGTATAAGGCAGACCAAATTAAATCGCGAGGAAATGCCATAATAAAGGTCCCTCTTAACGCTTTAGTATGTACTTGACAAGAAGACTAATTGACTTTTGAAAAGCACTTCTATGTAAACGAATACCTGTTCTCATCACATGAGTTGCAAGGTCACACGTGGAGCAACCTCTCTTTCAGTCTTGAGAATCAAATGGTTTAACCCTTTCATTAATACAAATATAAATATGCCTTCTTCGTCACTCATGTCTTTCGTATTCAGTTTTTGCCGTGGCTTATAATTAAAGCTGCGTCAAGGTTGATTTTTTTTCTATTTCATCTCTTTTCTCGTTACCTTCACTTACGCAAGAGAATATAAAATATGTCAAGCGTTGGAGATTAAAAACCTTTTCATGAAAAATAGATTTATCTGCCGGAATAGACATGTGAATAACTGTTGAAATATACAATAACATGTACATTCATGAGTAATCCGTTTTTAAACGAATATGTTTCATACATTCTTCTTCCAAGATGATGTATTTTGGAGGTCTTTCGTAGTTAAAATATTCGCTTCTGAATGATTCCAGAATTTGATTTACATGACTCAAAGTACCTGTTGTACAATTGATTCCCATGAATCCTGCTGCACAGGTACATCCAAAGGGGTCTGGTAGGCAGAAGAGTTTACCCCGACACCCTGGACTGTGATCATCTCCTGAGGAATCACAAGAAAAGCTGCCATCCTGCCCGAACCGGTTGCTGCCCAGGACTTGGGATAAAGTGACAATAAAGGGATAAAGGATACAATTGCCTTCATAATAGCGATTCAAACGAGCTTACGCAATAGATTAGTAATACGGTATCGACATTGAGTTACGTTGATTTTGATTCGCGTGATAATTATATTGAAAAGAGTTTTAGGTATTGAACGATCAAAATGTACGAAAATGCCAACGAAATAATGCTGTTTCCTTATATCAGGGTTTCATCGATTGAATTTTATTAATGAAAGCTTTGTCAATGTTATCACTATACGCATTTCGTACATTATAGAGCAGGCCTGTTATAGAGTATTGCAGATTGAACATTATTTCAAGCATGTAATTTACATGAAATCATTGTATTTATTCACATCAACAAAATATTAAGCTTAATCCAGAACATGTATACAAAAAAAAAAGGGGGGGGGGGTGTATCAACTAAAAGCGCAGAGGACCCAATAAAGTGAAGAAACCTACCGTGTTCACATGTTGTCCCGTTGAAACCAGGAGGACATACACACTCTCCTGAGTCTACATCGCACTTGCCTCCATTGAGACACTCATTACAGGTATGTTCACATTCGGATCCCCAACGATGAGCTGGGCATCCTGTTTGAAGTAAACAATATTAGTATTTCAAAGTTGATAAGAATCCAGCATCTAAACAATATCAGAGGTAGATAACCGATATGCCAATATACATTGACATGCCTGCATTCTAACACTCTATCTATACATCCCTCCTAACACAATAAAAAGATAACCATTGTCAATATTCAATTTTCATTTCACTGATATTTTGATGGCAACAATAATATAGAATTATAAACAATTTCAACAATGTTTGAATATAACGATGCTTTAGATACATGTACGGATAGTAAGCTGTCAACTTACTGACGACATGAAGAAGGAATATTGCATTTTTTGCATCCCATCCTTTTCCAGTTGCAAAACACTTGTATACCCCAGTTTGGTTTAGCTGCACGTTCTCCAAAGTTAGACTCTGCTTTCCTTTACCGCCATGTATCCCAACTAAATTAAACCGCCACCGGAGGTCATCTTCCGTTAGGTTTGTGGCAACAGCGAATGTAACAGTTTCCCCGACATGGACAGTCAACGTTGTCTGTTCAGGCAGGATTGGCGCTGTAGAGTAAATGGGAGTAATATGCTATATAATGATAAAAAACGTTTGAGGGGGGGGGGGGGAGAAAAAAATCCGCATCACCACCACTCTAACATGCAGGCCCCGTAAAACGTTTTTTCAAAAAGGGGGGGGGGGCTAAAGTATTTACGATCAGGTAGATCAGGAAGTAAGTGGAGCTGATTGACGTGGGGTCCAGGGGCAAAGCACCTGCGGGGGTGAAGGGCCGGAGCCCCATGAAGCTTAGAGGTTTTAGCCCATTTAATTTAATCGATGAGCATCGAGGGGCCCGCCTTAGGGCCCTTGTTTGGGTCCAGGGAGAAGAGCCCCCGGAAGCTCAGGGGTTTTAGGCATTTAATTACGGTCAGATGAGCATTCAGGGGTCCGTATAATTAGGGCCCCGGTGGGGTCAAGGGGGCGGAGCCCCCGGAAGCTCATGGGTTTTAGGCATTATTACGGTCAGATGAGCATATTTTGATACAAATTATTTGTGACACTTGCAGGTCACAAATTGGAGTGGGTTCCAGGGGGCGGAGCCCCCAGAAGCTCAGGAAATTTAGGCATTAAATTACGGTCAGATGAGAAACCAGGGGCCACCTGAGGGCTTTTGGAGGGGTCCAGGGGGCAGAGCCCCCCGAAGCTCAGCGAAAAATCATGCCATTTCAGTAACATCTGTAAGTCACTGATAACGAATTAGAAATAAACCACGTTTGAATTTTATTTAGGGGGTCAACTGCCCCCCCCCTCCCATCAGTACGCCATTGATGTTTAGTACTGAAAGTATAGAAATCATCAAATGTAAAAGTCAAAATGGGGTATTCTTATGAATTTATGTATAGGCTTACATGGTAATATTTTGACAAATATTTGAGCCAATCATTGTATTGATGATGTGATCTAGTCGAGACGTCACTGAAGAACATGGTTGGGATTCGAATCCCTGTCAAGGCAATACTTTCCCTTGTCAAGACATTAACCTGGATTAGCCTCTCTCCCCACATGAAATAAATGGGTACCCGGTGGGAACAATGGTCACCCGGCTGACGTAAGGGGAAAATGATTGCAGGGCCCTCGGGAAGAACGATATCAAAATTGACGAGGCTACCCAAAGACATGGAAGACCATATTATTATATTACATCAGGTCAGGGAATGAGCAAAAAAATGCTCAGAACATGCATCTCGTGTCCAAATTGTATAAGTTTTATCACTTCCGTAATTGTGAACATGTTTTAGAGTGATTCTAAATCCATCCCTTGCTTTTTTGTTCAGTGTCCTCGTACAATATTAAGTAGATCTGTTCCCTTAATACAACTTCAAGATATAGGACAGTGCCGTAAATACATGAAATTGCTGTTACCCTAGTTTCACTTTAAAAAGTTCAAAGATGTTCTTAATTTTTATTCAGTTTTGGAAAATATGTTTTCCTTTAGACTGGAGCTAGTTGTATGTTTCTCCTAAATCAAAATATTAGGGAACGTCCAGAGAACGTCAAAGTCGGGTCCTTTTGTCTTTCTTTTTTCTGAAAAATGGTGGCTCCCAGTTGGCTGTGCATGCTGTTATAAGTTTCAATAAACGGCAATAACGTACAAGCAAATGCATCAGTCACACCAACGAGACCGATAAAAGACCGACTCAGACCCAGTAAACAAGTTTCATTTAATAACTCAAGTGGCCCAAATATGGTCGGTTTGGAGTTGGTTTGGCAGTGTGACCGAGGTAGTAAAGAGTTTTACAAATATTTATACTCACCATTGTGCATCAAGACAACAGTTGAGGTCAAACGTGTGGTTCCTTCATATTCTAAAGCTACGTAGAATGCTCCCAATGCCTTGGTTTGAATAGACTGCTCGAATATTAGCTTTCTTATACGTTGACCTTCATTTACTGTGCCGATAAAGTTCGGGAGACGTGTAGTATCAATGGTCCGGATAATGCGGTCGAACGTGATATTGTCTCTGATGCTTGCATCTTTCTGACCTAGGTAGACGCCGATATATTGATCATGTGTGTTGGGAGGATCCAGGAGGGGGTGATTGGTCACTAATGTCAGGTCTACGATGTATCCTAGAAAAAACAAAACAATAGTCAATAATAGATTTAATAGCATGCACATCTCAGTAGACTAATTAGACCAGAATTTGTTATTGTTATTTTTTTTTTTATTGCAACCAAAACTTGAAATTGGATTTCAAATAAAAATGCAAATACAAATAGATATAAATAAATAAATATATGTATATAATAATGTGCTACAATCGAATTATTATACATTATGAATTAAATTAAAGTAAGCTCATGAGTACAATATTTAATAATTATTGTATATAACATCAGAATTTATAAGGGCATGTGTGTTTTAAAATTGAGCAGTTTATAATGAAATTGATATTAATAATGGATTAAAAAAAGAAAACATTACACATATTGAGAACCGAGCTGTGGGAGAGGGTGCCGCGTATCGCCTGCTGTTGAGAGACAGGAGGGCGTAAACTCACATTCATAACATAGCAACAAAACACTCTTCCAGCTCTCAACAGACGATATGTCATGTAATAATAATAATAATAATAATAACATATTTATGAAGCGCATAATAAACTGTGGTTTCTCTATGCGCTGTACAAGCATGAATGACGAGAAATGTAAATCTCATTGAAATCAAAATAAGCAATTAACAAACTGAGCCTAGATATGGAGTATGAATTCGGATCCGTTCTACAAGTAATAAAGAGAAAACTGAAAGCAATATTTCAGTATTCATTGAGGAGAAAGAGTATAAATTTGAATCTCACTTTATGTAAGTCATGCAAGTATGATAAGAATGATGAAATAAAAATTTCATGAGACTGATTTAAAAAAAATTATACATTGTGCAACTTGAATCATAACATAGAATGAAAACCAACAGTACTTCCGGTCCTGAATGAGGGGAGTCATCTTTAACAGCATTCGCCATAGGGCCTTAGCTAAATGGGAAGTTACATAGAAGCTAATCTAAATATTTCATTAAAATGCTCACTGAAAGATGCTTTAATCTACAATGGATGTCTAACAGTTTACTACATTAATATTCAAGACACCCCCCTAACAAAAAATACAACAAGAGAATGGCTCAGACGTGACTTATTTATATTTCATCGATATTTGATATTCCTTTTATCTCTAGATGCTCCAATTTCTCTACATTCACAAGTTTTGCCCAGAGCTTTTTTGTTATGTTGTAACTCTCAGATGTCTGTTTTTGTTTTGTCAACATGGTCAATAAACCATTTTTGATATGTATTCCGATAGTTATTCAAATGTAGACTCATTTTCCTGGCAACGAGCAATTTAATTCACCTGTTTAGTTGTTGCTAGGTCGGACATTCATTATGGCTCGCCCTAATTATAATAACAATATGAAAAGCACAGCTACTATATGAATGTACTCTACTACACAGTGATGAAAACAAAATTCCTAACGCTAATACTTTACAAACAATACAAAAACCAATTCAAAAGCTTTCAGAAAACAAGTGCGTCTTCAGCAAAAACTCTGAGATAGCAACAGATAAGTCTGTTTGTATGTCTAGTGTTGGGTTATTCCAAAGCTGTGGAGCGGTGGAACTGAAGGCGCAATCTCCAAGAGATTGTCGTTGTGTGAGGTAGCCTTAGAAGGCAGCTTGTCCTGTGTATTTCGTTAGTTATGTGCACATGGATGTGATTTAAAAGATAATAATGTAGACAAATAATTTGGGGCTTGACCATTCAATGCTTTTAAACAACAAAAAGTGTATTAATTGCAATTCTACGCCTTTTGGGCAACCAATGGAACCTTTTCAAAATATGTTTCCCGTCGGGAAAAAAGAGAAAAGGGGGAGGGAAAAATAGAGAGGGAAAGGGAAAAAAAAGAAAAGAAAAACAGAAAAGGAAAGGAAAAAAGGAAAAGAAAGGAAAGGAAGGAAAAAAAAGGAAAGAGAACAGAAGAAAGAAAGAGAAAAAGAAAAAAAGGAAAAAGGAAAAGAAAGAAAAGAAAGAAAAGGAGAAAAGGAAAAAAGAACGAAACAAAAGAATCGGGAGATGAAAGAGAGGAGAGAGAGGAGGAGGTAAGAGCCTGAGAGAAGAGGGGTTGTTCGGTGGAGTCGTCTCGTCGAGGGAGCACGAAAGACACGCATAAATATTTTGCTGTGTCGGGTTGGCTGTGTCGGTATTCTTGCTCGATCCTCGTGTAATATATCAATGCAAAAGTTTGAAGTCGGTGGGATGTATAATGTCAGTCGGCCGACAAGTTTTTTTTCCCTACGAACTGTGACGCTTTATCCACTGTGACGACTTCGAGAGAGACTACAACTAGAATACTAGTTTTTCTCGAAGTTTCACTTTCCTGTAACATCGGCTAAAGAAATCAGAGTTTTAAAATTTTCGGGGAAACTAAATTCAAACAAGGATTACGAGTCAAGAACGGTACAACGAATCGTCTTTTTTCCCCTAATATTTATTGATACGCCAAAGCTTCCGCGCTTTGCGCGAGAGGGGGTAACTGAATTCATACAAGGATTGAGAGTCGAGAACGGCACCAAACATTGCCTTCTTTCTATGATAGTTTAATGAAACGTCAAAGCTTCCGCGCTTTGCGCGTGAAGGGGAAAAATGAATTCAGATTATTAGGGTTAAGAGTCGAGAAAACGGTACAACAAATCGTCTTCTTTCTATTATAATTGAATGAAACGTCTGAGCTTTCACGTTTCGCGAGGGAGGGGGCGCGGATTAAGAGTCGAAAACAGTACAACGAATCGTCTGCCTTCGCGCGGGATACGGTAAACTTCATTCAGACAAGAATTAAGGGTCAATATGCATCTAATAATTTGATGAAACGTCTAAGCTTCGCGCAGGAGGCCCTTCAGCGCCCCCCCCCCCCCCCAGGGAGCGCGCTTCGCGCGGAAGGAGGGAATACTGAATTCAGATGATTAGGATTAAGAGTCGAGAACGGTACAACAAATCGTCTTCTTTATATAATAATTTAATGAAAGGTCAAAACTTCCGCGCTTTGCGTGGGAGAGGGGGGGGGGGAACCTCATTCAGACAAGGATTAAGAGTCAAGAACGGAACAACGAATCGTCTTGTTTCTCTAATAATATAATGAAACGTCTAAGCTTTCGCGCGGAAGGGGGAACTGAATTCAGACAAGGATTCGAGTCGAGAACAGTATACAACGAATCGTCTGCTTTCTCTCATAATCGGAAAAATAAATTCCGACAATTAGGGTTAAGAGTCGAGAACGGCACTAAAAATCGTCTTCTTTCTAAAATAATTTAATGGAAATTCAATGCTTAAGCGCTTCGCGCGGGGGACCCTTCGCCCACAACCAAGATTTAATTTTTTTTTAAATATAGTGACCTTTACCAGTATTACAAATAAGTTTTCAAATTAAGCTCATCTGACCTTAATTAAATGCCCAAAACTCCCAAGCTTACGGGGGCTAGCTACGCTCTACGCGATCATAAATAATGTATATACATCGAATTGTCAAACAGTTAAAATGTACTCAGAAATTCAGATATTTCTTTTCAAAAGATGACTTTCACGTCCTTAAATCTTATAATATGCAAACATCACTTTGGTTCAAACTTTGACTTTTGAGTTTTTAACAGTCAAAAGGATTCAAACTTATTAATTCTCTCGTTTTGTCACACTCAGTATAAAGTAACGTTACGCAAAAAATATCGGGGTTAGTATTATGTAATATGTATAGACTTGTATTGACTTTTAAAAGAGGCATTGTTAATGTATTTTCCCTTATTTTTACAGAATATCTAGTTTCTCTCATTCAAGTATACTTTTTGATTAAATGGAGGTTATTTACATGGTAAATCTATTCGTTAAGATAATAAATGGTGAATATTTACTTACCATTACTCGTAACAACCATGTAGAATAATACAAGCATGAGTCCAGAAAAAGAATTGCTCCAACACAGTAAGGATGCCATCATACACTAGCGAAAACACTGAAGACACTGCTTCAAATTGTCAATCTAGGAAGCATCAACGAGGCAAGATGAAATTGTCCAGGCCATATTCAGGAGAAGTGTTTCCTTGTTCACAAAATTTAGTCTTAAACTTAACTTATCATGGATATAATTTATTGTCACTCATAAAAATGGGTTTTTTCCGATGAGAAATTATCCAACAAGAAGGAAGTTTCGGCTGGGCTAAATTTGGCACCACTGGTGAATTTTGTTCGTATTTCTCTCCTATGGTGCAGACAAAATAGCAAATTTAAGCCAGGTCTATAACTTACCTGGTCGCCCTAGACAGAACGAAACTTTCTGCATACTACTTCAATCATCGACAATAGCCCTTGTCAAGACTCGAGAGTACAAAGTTTCCTCCTTGTCTCACAATTTAAATTCGTCTATCGGGGTTGCGGAAATCTTTTAAAGCATATACTTACAGCGACCTGGTAATCACTCAAATGCGATTCAAACTACGTCATATATCGAACCAGCTATTTATGGAACAGCCAATAGCGTGTTCCGATAGATTGTGTCTGATCCCCACTTTGCAGCTAGAAGATTTGCCTCATCCAAAGGGGAAAATACCACTACGATTCCGGATATCAAGGCGGAACCTTACAGAAACTGGATGTTTATACTGAAGATATTTGTTCTCCTTATAATAACTCAGCTTGTAGAAGGAACGCACGAAATGATTCCATTAGTTACTTATTTGCCATTTACTCCTTTTTCATGCCATTTTAAAAATGTCGTCTTTAATAGCGGTCGTATATTTTGATATGTAATAGGCCCGCATAATGTGTGGACATAATTATGTGGACCCGTATATTTGGGCTCTGTGTGCGAGAGCGTGTGTGGGTTGGTGTGTATTGTGTAGGTGGGTGGTTGTGTATGTGTGTGTGCGTTTATGATTGTGCGTGTGTGTGGGTGTGTGTGTGTGTACGTTGATGGTTGTGTATGTGTGTGTGTGCGTGTGTGTGAACATATGAGACGAGGATTATATGAATAGTGTATTTGATTCACTTCACTTACATTGTTCGAACAAAGCATATATTGATTATAATATACTTCTGCAAAGATCCCCCCCCCCAAATGTGTTTGAAGACAAATATTGATAAAAGAATACATAAATTGGGTTTTCTGTTGTACGCGGAAAACTTTAATTGTGTTTCTTTCATAAATTTTTGTATAATAGTATAACTACATATGTAAGAGAGTCAGTGAGGCATTGTCCGTAAACACTGCGTGTAATAGGCATGTTACTTCCCTCTCTCAGTCACTCCATTCTGTCTTCAAACATGCAAATTGAGGGCGCCATACACTTCAAGCTGTAACCTTTACTAGGTGTCTGGGGTAGTTGTCCTGGGGGTAGTCGTCCTAGAGGGTGTTTGCCATAATAATAATTCATAATAATAATGCATAATAATAATTCATAATAATTACTTTTACAGGGGGGCCTACACCCTACAAGCTCTGCTTTTTTTTGTCGACCCCCCTTCCCTTTCAACTGCATGTTTATTTGTTTGATGTATTGTATTGTGCAAATTGATTTACATGTATATGTATATCAATATGTGAATATGTTAAAACGTACCATCATTGTAAAAACGAACAGTTGACAAGGGATAAATAAATGAATTGAATTGAATTGAATTGAATTGATGTCCGGTGGGTAGGTGTTCGGATAAAACATTTTAGATATCGTCTGGGGCATCGTCGTGAAATTGTTCTACACCATGCACCTGGAATTTCATCTTCATATGTTTGGAAATAATCCACAAAACCTTAATTATGATTTGCTGGATTTCGTGTCTAGTTATTTCATATCAAAAATTATTTCACCGTTTTAAATAAAATGGTATTAAATATGTTTTCATAAGTCTTAATAATTAATTAATCGAGTAATTATTAAATAGTTACAATGAGAACGATGGTTGGGATCCACCCAAAAGCATGATAAATCTTTTTTTTTTGCATAATGGGGTAATTTAGGTGATTTTTTTTGTAATCATCTTCTCCTGATGAATGCATTTTTAAATGTAATAATTGTTACCGCAAAGTAATCTGGCTTGTATCTGACTGGCTGTGCTAACAGTCTGCCAAATTCCAAACTGCTTTAATAATCAGACGGATTAATTTTGTTGAGAACCGTTCAAAGTGCCAAATGACGAGCTGAAACAAAATAACTTGATTTGCTTTTGTATTCTTTATTGTTTTTACTTCTTTGATGTTTACATATTGTGCGTTCTATACTTTCATTTATCAGTATTCATATTTAATATGTGCCTTAATATCCCCTGCTCATATAGTAATATATGCATGTTGAATTGGATTGCATTATCTTACTCTGTTAATTAACTTCTAATTCTACTATAGAATGATTCGCTAAACATCCACCCTCATATAACATAATGCTTTCACGTTATTTTCATGGTGCATAGTCTTGGTCTATATTTACAACTTTTATTTTCATATTTCATCGTTCACATCCCAACACATTATCGTTGACCTATTCATCAACTTAAATTCCACTGTTTAGTAGACGTGGAGGTAGCAGTCGTAGTAGTAGTAGTAGTAGTAGTAGTAGTAGTATAAAGTAGAAGTAGTAATAGTAGTAGTAGTAGTAGTAGTAGAAGTAGTAGTAGTAGTAGTAGTAGTAGTAGTAGTAGTAGTAGTAGTAGAAAGTAGAAGTAGTAATAGTAGTAGTAGTAGTAGTAGAAGTAGTAGTAGTAGTAGTAGTAGTAGTAGTAGTAGTAATTATATTAATAATAACTGATAATTTATTTATAATATCCACAAATGTAGAAATAATGCTTAGCACATTTCACGTGTACTTTATTGTGCATAGGCCTAGTCTATATCTGTATTCACATCTTATATTTCATATTCCATCGTTAACATCCTAACACATTATCTTTGAACTATTAATCAACTTGAATTCCACTGCTTCGTAGAAGTAGTAGAAGTGGAAGTAGTAATAATAAAATTCATAGTAATAATGATAACGATAACAATAATAATAGTGTTTATGATAATTATAATAATGATAATAATATTAATGTTGATAATAACAACTATAATAATAATAATTGATAATTTATTCATTATTGTTCATCGATGCTGTAATAATGCTTTCCACCAGCAACGACAGGCATTAACACAAGTAATCAATAGAATGCCTAAGTGGTGACCATTGGTGCCCCACGGTACCCTTTTTCATATTTTAAATGAGATAATCACCTGTCAGTGACCATACAGGGAGGTCTAATCCCTCCTGGCCAAACTAGTGTAGATAGGCTTTAAAGAAACTAATCTCATACCTTTACTTTCATGTAGGGTGGTACCCAAGGTGTGCAACTATTTTTACCCAAATTCGTCAGACCTGTGCGAATCATTATTATTTTAAAAGGTTGTATTCCAACTGATCCCCGATATTAACAGATTTGGGAGTAAGGCGAGTAGAGATGGTGAATGAAAACGAAGCCATGATACTTTTTGACAGCTTTTCGTCATGGTATTCCATTTGGATACTTAAGAGGAGACGCCACAGTCCATCAGCACAGTTTTTCTTTCAGTTATTAAGATTAAATTTGATATTTCACGATAAGTGATAAAGCATGGTTTCATCTTCACGAAATTATAGAGACATACACATATATTTGTAATATATTTCTCCTTAAAATTATAAAACTTTTTTTCATTTCATTTTGATGGACTTTATTCATCTCGTGTATCAATTCTTCTTCAGCACGTTGACATAGTCTCTGTTCATGGCGTCAGTTACATCTTCGTATATAGCTTCTTGATCAGGTTTCGTGAGATCTTGGTAGGTATGAGGGTCAGCAAGATTATGGTAGCTCTGCGCATCGGTATTAACACCTTGGTAGGTGTGGCTGTCAGTGTGCAGGTCTTGATAGGTATGAACGTCTGTCTTTGACGGATCAAATACAGGGTTCTGATACTGCGGAGACGAATCGGACTCTTTTCCTTTAGACTTAGTAGTGGCTGATTTATCGCTGTAAGTTAATATGAAAACAAAGATATAAATCGCATTAAGGAAATACATAATCAAAACAATAATTATGTCCCAATAAATAGGTATACATAAACATGTAAACATGACAATTGGCATGTGGGAATCGGTATGGTACCTTTAAAAGACTTATTATTTACGTACGTCCTTCAACTGGATGCCATGGTATTAAGAAAGCGTTATGCTTTATAATATTTACATTGAAAATCTTCTTTTTTTTTAAAGAAATTAAATTACTATACAGATCCACTCAAAAATACAATCATAATTCATCTTGTTGTTTCATGACCATACGGTTTTAGCATCTTGTATGGAGCAGTACGATGCGGATGGACTGATGCGAGGGGCAGGTTAAGAATAAGGTATTTCTCTAACCTTCTTCGCTTGTAAAAGATGATGATGAGAATTATAACGATAACAATCACAAGAATAGCACCAACAGCGCTTCCTACGACAGTTGCTATGGAACCTGAAGGAACTCCAGCTGAATTTGATGTTGATAGAGAAGAGACAGTAGGTGAAGAGGATGGTGTGGGAACAAGGATGGTAGTGAAAAGAAATGACAGGAGTTAAAAGTCACGAAGATAGCATCAGAGTTAATAGATAAATACTTAATAAATCAGATACTAGATTAGAAATACCGAGGTAGTATCAGAGTTGATATATATAAATGATAAGTAAATCAGATACACATGTACTAGCAGCATAATTATGATCATAATTGATTGTAATGGCATGCGAAAAGACCAGTCCCAGTAGTTAGCTTACTATCACAGCTAGACATTCACGATTCACGTATGGACATTTGTGTGGGTGTGCGCGTGTGTGGGTGTACGATTATTGTTCAATGAATGGAAAAGTGAGGTCAAGACGAACAAAT